CTACACAGGGTACTCTCTATAGTCCCGTACTGGGCCGTGAAGCAGCTACACAGGGTACTCTCTATAGTCCCGTACTGGGCCGTGAAGCAGCTACACAGGGTACTCTCTATAGTCCCGTACCGGGCCGTGATGCAGCTACACAGGGTACTCTCTATAGTCCTGTACCAGACCGTGATGCAGCTACACCGGGTACTACCCATCTGAGGGTATCCGGGGGTCGTATTGGCCCGTTTTCATTACGTGTGGGAGGTTACAACCCGCTCCCCTATTATTTACCCCAATGTGTAATCCACTCACAGGGGCCAATGCATGTAATTTCCCAAAATCTGAAATAAATCCAACAATATATCCATTCAAATAGCTTGCGGTGATGTAATTTAAAGTATTTCCTATCCAGACACTTTGTCTGATAAATGTTTCATTGGAGCATATTCCTGTTTGCTGGCCCAATATTCTCCCAGCCCAGGTAAATTCAATACCAGGAACAAAGGATTATTGGCTTTGAGGGTTTTTTGGGGATCTAAGGCTGGTCAGCAGAGAAGATCAGGGCCCAAAGATGCCTGATGTGGTCCCCAGAAGGCAGGAGCATCTGTATCTCTCTCTGAGGAACATGGACGTATGGAACAGGAGAGGAGTCAGCGAGCACGAGCCTGCCCGCCTCTAACTGCACCTGGTCACTGGAGTCAGGCCCCCTCTCTGTTGCAGTAGGAGCCAGTGCGTGCTTTTTTATTTGTCACCTTTACATATACCTGCACCCCCCAACTCCAGGGGGGTGGAACTGAAGATTTTCAGCAGTGACAACCTCGAAAGATTTTAACAGGTGCACTTTTTACAAAAACGCTACGGAGAGCGATGACTGACCACCCAGCGTGCCGTTTGTGCGGCGTATGTTTATTTACTGGGTAGCATTCCTTGGCAATGAGGGAGAGCCCCCCCCCCCCAACCCCCCTCTTCACACTGTTCTTGTCTCCGCGAGGAAACACCTATGAATCCAGACAGTGGCAGTCGGCAGCTGTGCCTGGCCGCCAGACAAAGAGACGTGACCAGCTTCTGATGGACCCCAGTTAGGCGTCTGGTCCTGGGCCATCAGACACATCATGACACAGTAGCATAGCACTTTGCCATCAGAAATGCAAGCCAGGAGCTTTCTGGAACATATACATTTACTCTGCATTGTATTCAAGCGAGAAAACACTTCAATAATGTTGGCAAGCTTCAATATTTGAGCACAAACATTAATAAAGGATCTCTCTGCCCCCCCCCTCCACCAGCCACATGTCCGGAATGTAATGACTTCCATATATCTTGATTGGTTTAAGTGTTCTGATTAAAACCTTGCCCGTTTTGGGTCATGGATACATAGGAATATGCAACTTGTGTTTAGGAAGCTTAGGAAGCCAGACAATTAGGTAAAGTCGCAGAAAAGAAAAATCAACCATCAGCCGTGTCCTTAACCAGTCATAATGCTTGGCAAGGATGTCTAAGAGGTGTATCATACTAATGTTAATAATAATACCATAACGAGGGCTGACTCAGTGCTCAATAGCACAGCCAGAAGGCCCCCAGTATGACTCGGTAAGTCGGTCTTTTCAAACAGAGGGGGCTTCATTTGGTTGGGGCTCCGTCGTTTAATTGTGAGGACGGAACACACCGAAATGGATGTTTACTCTTTGGTAGGGCTACACATGCAGAAAGCAAAGGGAAGTAAAAATGACATATACTGGTGTGGGTGGTGTCTGTCTGGATTTCTGTAGGATGTTCACTGGGACGTCTTACTGGACACCTTTAACAGTCAGATTTTAAGTACGGCTCCTTCTCTGACAGGGCTCCTCTGTAAGGTAGGCATTTGGCCCCGCCCACACGTCAAGTCAAATTATCGACCCTTAAAATGAACTCTGTTGAGCGTACTTGGGCAAACTCCACAGTCAAACCGGGGATGGGGATATCTTAAAGTTTAGTCGGAAGGGGGTGAGAGCTCGGCGGTGCAACGTGTTTTGAGATGTGGACTGTTAATGAGGGGCAGAGACGGGTGGATTGGACCATGTGTTGAGAATGCAGGTATGACTAACTAACTATTGGAGAATGCAGTTATGACTAAGCAATGCAACACAGCGGATTTTAGATTCCACCTGCACACTTCGATTCTACACAATAAGAAAAGGCAGGTTGGAAGAGAAAATATGGTGTTTAGTTCTAAAAGGGTTTAGCGGGAGTAGCAGTCTATAGAGCACTCAAATAACATTGCAATAAAGGCACCATGAGTCTGCAATGATCAGAAAGATGGTCCCTAAGAAAAGGGGAGAGTTTTGTTGCAAGTTATGTATTGAGATCAGAAAAAAGGTTTGGCATTTAGATCTGCATCCCAGACAATGGAAAAATACATACACACGCTCTGGTGGGATGGAAGTCATTTTCTAAATCTGTTCAGAAATAAACTGTAATTTAAAATAAATCGAGTATATTGTGGCAGCAAATTTGACAGATCAATATAAGGGGACAAAATATATATGTATGTATAGATCTGAGAAAAACGCTCCAGCGTAATCCCAAAGAAGGCAGAGCACAACGTCATGTGAAGTTTGGTGGCATGTTGAAAAAACAAAAAGGAATGTGATAAAAAAAAAAAAGGCATCAATCGGTGTAGCGAGGGGTTAAAAAGAAGAGCTAGAGTTGCACTGGCATCTATACATAAAAAGCCTCTATCAGGAAAGATGTGGAAAATAACTGTAATTAGCAGGCAGTGCGAATTCTGCATAAGAACAAAAGCCTTTCAGGCAGCGGAGATAGTGAATATCTGCAGTAATGAAATGCACACGGCGACTATTTCCTAACTCCCAAACGGGTGTCGTCAGTGGGCGTTGCTGAGCAACTAGGCCCAGAAGGCGGGCAGTTCATACACTCACCAGCGCTCTCAGGAGCTGAAGGACAGAAGTGAGACAAATTGAATGCTGCTCTATTCGGGGGGGGGCAGGCTGAACTCCACCCCGACCAGGCAGTCTCCCAATATCCAGCAATTCTGCGAACCCCCAACGAGTAAAGGGGAGGGAGGGTTCAGCTATCAGGTCGGGGGAGCAGAATTGGGACCAAAAGGCTGCTGGTCCATCTCCCAGGTGTCGATCTTCTAGTGAAACTTTACATTTGGTGTTTAGAATTACAATTACAAATACAATTACAATGAACTTTATTTAGCCCAGGGGTGTCAAACTGCAGTCCTAGGGGTCGGAGCCCTGTGTAGCTTAGTTCTTTCCCTTTTCCTCCCACAAATGGTTCAGCTCAAGATCTGTCCGGTAATTAGCACAGAGGTGAATCAGGTGTGTTAAATGAGGGGAAACCCAAAAATGTACAGGGCTCTGCCCCCCCCCCAGGACAGGAGTCTGGCACCCCTGATTTAGCTTGTATTTCATCTGTATTGTTTCAGCACAATCTCCAGTCTCAAAGCAATAAAACTGTAAATTGACTTGAATAAAACACTCCTCTTGACAGTCATTGTCGTTATTTTTATTGATATTATTTTGTACTAAGTTCTGTTGCTGACCTTTTGAATATGAGCTAGAGAGGTACACAGAGGTACACAACCCAAAACAGAGGTAAAAAGGTATGATTTGAGTGGGAAAGCCACTCAAACTGTGTAGCGTGCTTGATAGTATGTGAAAGGGCACGTGAGCAGGATCTGGGGCGTGATGCAGACAGCTTCAGCGGGAGTCGGTCAAAACGGAAACGGCTTAACCGGGAGAACGAGGAAATCTCACCAAATAAGTGTAACTGGGTGCCTGTCGCTGGATAATTGTGTCAATGGACCAGGTATAATTAGACTGATCAAATCCGGGAGCTTCCTTTTACAAGCGTCTCATCACAGCAGGAGGCTCTGAGTGGTGGAAACCTTGCAACGGGAATCCCCCCTCCGCCCTCCCCTTGGCTGCCTGCAAACACAGAATCAGCAACATCAAAATCACAGCTTGGAAGAACGCTCCCGCCATGCTGTCACGCGACAGCCTCTGCCTGGGGTACCCCCCCACCCCCACCCCCACCCCCAAGCCGGAATCTCCGGGAAATCCACCCACAGCCTGCTCTCATTCCACACGCCACGCAAAAAATATTTCAGCTGTATTGATTCGACATGCATCGCCACTCTATTATTTATCACGCTATATTCGGGCTACTTATGCATTTCATATAACAATATCTAGGCTCCAGCTATGGTTGTTTATTTGAATATAACGTACTGTGGAGGATGACTAATGTAACTGGTGACGAACCGCTGAAGTCAGACATATTGCTGGCCCACGTTTGAAATATACACATTAATTACATGATTAGGGTACATTGGAATGCTAAGATTGTAATTGCATTATGGTACATCGACTAAACCACTAAAAGCAATGCTAATAAATGCAGATATAAAATATATCTAGTTATAAACCGTGTGTTATTTTATTGCTAATCATGTAGTGTGGTGCAGTTGTTTGTGATGCAGTGAAAACAATTAGTCTCACCTGTTAGCGATGAGGATTGTCAGTCAGATAGAGGTGTGCATCCTTGCTGGAGTGTACCTCAGAGGTGCCTCAGCTTGATTTTTGCAGAGGTTTTTGGGTCATTGCTGCATTACAAGTCAGATAAAGGTAGGCTTTTGGGTACCTTCCTGTTGTGACATCTGAGACCCTGTTTGATGATGTCGGTCTTCTGATGATTACGGTCTCCTCTTGGGGATCTTTGCTCTGGCCTATACAGATGAGGTTTCCCTAAGATCTATGAATGTGTTTTTTTTTGGGGGGGGAGGGGGGGGCAGCAGGTTGCTATGCATTGGGTGAATGTCCTGTAATTCCTTTACCCTACAATCCAGCTAGTTGCCTGAGTGTCCCAGAAACAGGATCTGATTTATCGCGACCATGCATGGAGTTTGATGCTTGCATGCAATTCCTGTTGGGCAAAAAAAAAATTTTTTAATTAATGCTTACCTTATGTGTTAATGCATATATTTGATGGACAGATTACCTATATTTTGCCTACGGGCACCAACAAACCTCTTATGTAGAGGTGTAAAGTACCAGCATAGAACATATGCACAATATCGGTCATGCCAATTAACAGCATTGTCGACTCCCCCAAAACTTTGCCTCCCTGAAGTGACGGAATATGGGTCTTTAACTGCACAGCCATCCATCCAGGGTCTGCCCCAGTCCTGTGCCGCCTGAGCTCAGGTCCCCCATGAACTTCCTACGCTCTCTTCCAGTCATGCTCCGTATTTAAAGTAAAACTCGCAGGTTTTCCCTTCTTCCATTTCAGATGTATAATCACACAACCAAAGAGTGGTAGAAGGTATAAGTGAACATAGTAAGCCCTGGCTCCATAAACAAGTACATAAAAAGCTATCTGGCCTGAAAAGAAAATACCTTAAATACATCGATGTAAATGTCCCTTCCCGCCTTGCCGTTAAGATGCTATAAACTGCGGCACTGTCTTCATTCTCTCTTAATGATGCTGTGGTGTAATACGACGCACCCATTTAAAGCGCCTCGGTGGGACTCTGTTGTGAAAGGCGCCGTATGAGAAATAAATCGAATTGAGTTGAATTGAAATTGGCTTCGCCGCCCTATAGATGGCCGAGGTGCCACCCGGCGCGCTTAACGTGCAGTTTACGCCCGCCTCCCCCTTCCGCTGGCATCAGTGCAAAAGAATACAATTTTCCGCAGGTGACGAGATGTTAATCTTGTTTATAGTTTCATGGCAACATTACAAATCAATGAATAAGACTAGGAGACAGCTCACCTGTGACAGCTGAACTGAAAACAGATAGCTTCGTTTCTTACACGTTTACGGATAATATTTAAATAATGGCACTGTTCCTCAGTGCAGCCCTAACTATGCTGACATTATTGTTACATGCCTAGCCTTGCAACCGTTTTTTTCTGCTATCACGATATTCAGATGTACACAATTCTGTGGTATCATGACTTGAGTGGAGTATATTAGGAAATGCATCCATACACTGTATATGGGAATTGGGCTTAGAAAATAATTCCATTTTTCTTGACTAGTCATTGCTCTTTGCGCACAAATTAATAGGTTTAATGTTATTTTAACTCCTACTAAATTTAGTGTAATGAGTTTGTCCCAGCAGCCGGGATAAGACACACGGCAGTATTTTAATCAAAAAGCGCTGCTAGCCGTTCCGCGTGCGTCTGCGTGTAAGCATGCAGATCAGGGAGGGATTACTTATCGATAATGGTGATCTATTCCTAAAACCAGAGTGAAACGCCAAATGATGTCATTTCCGTTCGGGTTTCATCGTCTCCTTTTGCAGATTTATCCCCTTTGCTGGAAACTTTTCTGTGCACAGCGTAACGAGGCGCGTCCGCATTGCCGACAGCGCGCAGCCTGCGGAGCGGTAATGCACGTGTGGCTGCTAGTTTTTTCTTCTTTTTCTACCTCCTCCTCTTCTTCTTCTTCATCCTTGGCGGGCTTCGATCACGCACCGTAGTGCAGTAGTTTTGCACTGACCGGCTCCCGCAGTGAAAGCTGCGAGTAAATAAGCTCGGACGGAAAACCGCCTTTGGACAAAATGCGGGCGCTATTTAGGGTCCTGAATCCTCTTCTTTTAATGTTGCTGTTCGGATGCTATCCTTCCCTGGTGAGTTTCCTCGACGATTTCCATTCATCGTTTCGCTGACATAAGTTGACTCGCAAAAAAGTGTTAACTAAATAAACTAGCGAATTAAAAAGTGATAACGCCTGCCGTGTTTTCAATTGTTTCAATGAGCGCTGGAAGGTAATATCCTAGTTATCCGCATTTTTGTTCCAGATGGCAATAAATAACAAATTTGACTGTAAAACTGTTGGGATAGGCACCATCATTTCGGAATGATTTATGGTTCACATATTCAGGTTATGTTTTAAATATTGTTGATTTGTATACGTAACAGGCTTTCACGTGCGTTGATGAGAGCAAAATTATATGCCCTGGGAGTGACGGCAATAATTAATCAATTAAATATAGTGTAATGACATTTTATTGATATTCTTTTATATGCGCATACAGTTCATAGGACACGTAAACTAAAAGCAAGCAATACTCTGTAAAAACCCAACAGATCGAGGTGTATTTTTATTTTATTACAAAATTGCGGTTGCTGAAAAGGACAGTATCGGAAATAGTTTCCCATTTCAACATTCTCGTTTTTAATCATGGAAAATATTTAAACGCGAATTGTGTAGCACTTATGTTCATAGTCAAGGTCTTCATGTCAAATCAATGTTCAGTGCTGCTGGTAAGTATTTCTATGCATTGTGCTCTGTGACGCATTTCCTTTGATATACATTACAAGAGTAAACAGTAATCGTTTTATTTGTAATGAACTAGAATATGAAAAAAATCACGGCAGAAACGAAAGCATTTCTGCTTCAAGCAAGATTTTATTAATTCGTATGTATTCCCTTAGGAAGCAGTAAGTGATTATATTTGGAAAAATATGTATGACTGATCGGTTGGGAATGCATATCAGAAATATAGACGGAAAAATGTTTGCAACAGTAGGCTATCCGTGATCTTGCGGACAAGTTTCCTAGTTCAGTTCTCCGGTGTCCGCTATTCAGTGGTACCCACCCACCGAGAGTCGCTCCATTCATTTCCACACGGTCAGCCCTAACTCTGCACGCCGGGTATAACGCCGCACTTAGGCGACACGGCGTGCATTTTATGCCGCGCCACATTCGTCTGTTTTGCTCCCGCCCGTGCTTTGCCACAGTGTTGTCTTGGCGCAATGGAGCTGTCCACAACGTGGTGCTGAAAAAAAACTACATATAAAACCACTTAGACGTAAATACAGAGAGCCTGCTTCAGCGGACGGAGGAGGCGTTTTGCAAATAGGGAACTGTTTTTAAATTTGCCTTTAATGTATCAGTAAGTTTTGTATCAGAGTAGTTTTCTGACACTTATGACTCACATAGTGTATTATAATTATTATCCATAGTGGTGCTAATTACTATAATTACCTGTGTGCTGTCGTTATCATTGTTTTTTTGGTGACGGAACCTTGACAAACTTGTCTTTTCACAACCGCTAAGGTGGAAAATATCTAAAATTTCATTCCGAAACGATGGTGCCTATCCCAACAGTTTTACAGTCAATCTCTAATACGGTTGTATGAAATGTAGGAAACACGCCTTTTCGCCACCGGGATGCTTAGTTAAGTGTTGCCTAGTGGAGTTTCCAGTATTGTCTACTGTAGTATCTTATTTTTAACAGTGGAACTGTTTCCTGGTTTCTTGGAGTATTGATATTGAGAGCAGCCGAAGTTGCTAAAAATTGGCTTTTATAATGCGGCTGCAGAATAGAGGAAAAAAATTAAGGCGTTTGGAAATAAAACATTCCGCACAGAGGAATAAAACATTCCGCACAGAGGAATAAAGGGACTCGCGTTCTGAAGAGTGTTTCTGCTGTTTTGGTACAATTAAAATACTAATTATAGGCAACCACTGAAAAATCGTCTAGGACAGGATGCTGTAAGACAAGAGCTGCCTGCTGAAGTCATTGGTTTGTAGCACAGAATTCCTCACAGGTGTGTCATAGTGCACAGTTGTTTATAAGTTATAAGATGTGATTGGTACTAGGATGCATCATGTGATCCACCTACGATTGCAGTGAGTGCAGGGGGAGTGTAATGAATAACAAAGGTCGTGATCATTTTTAATGTTCATATAAATGTGTGTGCGTGTGTATATATTGTGTGTGTCTTTACATATATATGGTGTGTGTGTGTGTGTGTGTGTACATATAAAATATTTTGGTTGCACAGGCAGTTATTAACCAATTGTAATAACCAGTCAACAACTTCATAATAACCAGTTTAGTTTTACCTAGTACAGCAGTATCACACATAATTATGTGGACTTGGTCTTAAGATCAAAAACTATTTCACCTAAGGGGGAAAAAAGAGTGAGATAACAAGAGTGATACAGAGTGTGTGCTGGGTCTCATTTCTCAGCCGTTGAAAGGATTAATTGATGTGCAAGTGCATTTTCTTAATAAAAAAAAATCTTACGGGGCCCTAAGTTACAGTCAGTCGTTTTTCAAGTATCCTCAAGTGAATTGGCTGTGTAATACGGAAATCTGTCATCGCGGCTATTAACGTGATAAACTGGAATTAAGGTTTCATGTGCATTGTATTGAATGCCTAGCCTTGTGTAAGGGGGAAAAAATACAATTATTTGTGGGTTATAAATTTCCCCCCATCATGTGCACTACAGGGTATAAAATAGATTGTGTCACCTTAAAAATATTACTCCATTATTGTATTATATAAGTCAAGTGGATGATAGGTTTCCTGACACATATAAAAAAAATTGCATAGGCTTGTAACAATGCAGTTCTGTCTGTAAATGATACCTGTATCCACACACCATGAAAAGGTGAAGGGCAAGTATTAGTTTGAATATACTACCGGTATTCTCAATGTATTTGTGGTCCCTGACTGATGTCCCTTATATTAATTGAATTGCATGTATATAATTATGAATATAATTAATCTGTGGATTCATAACTTTAGTTAGTTGCATTTATCTAATGTGAATCCATTCATCTTCCAGCTGTTTAGGTTGGTCAGGGTTGGGGGGAGGCAGGCTGGAGCACTACCCCCCCCCCACCCCCACCCCCACACCCACACACACACACACACACACACACTGTGGCTTCTTTTTATTTAGAGATGCTAGGACATGCAAACTACATGCCAGAGGAGGTGGGACTTGAACCCTAACCCTGGTGGTGTGAGCCAACATGGCAGCACTCTTATGAATCTTCATTCATATTTCTTGCCATAGGTAATAACATCATGGATGCATATGTCAATTTATTTATGACACCATGAAAACAATTCCAGGCCTGGGGAATATGAAATAGTGGAACATAACACCTTAAAATAATTACAGTGTTTCTGGGATCACTCTAGGCTTACCTGAACTGAATAAGCAATGATGGATGGATGGATGGATGGATGGATGGAGGGATGGATGGATGGATGGAGGGAGGGAGGGAGGGAGACTCCTGATTTAACAAAGTTGGTTCCTAATGGATTAATATGCCAGTTTCCTCCAATAAAATATTGCATGGTAACATTGTGATATTTGTTGTGATGTTCAGGCAAAACTGGTCCACTTGCCAAAGTGTTGTCAGCAGATCTACTAAGTCTTACCTTTGGTTTCAATCCTAATCTTTATTCTCTCTGACATCTGGCTTTCCTGGTATGAAATAAAAATGCAGGCAGGAGTTCAGCACCGTGTCATACCAGCTGAACAAGCATGTCATGAAAATGACTCATGTACAAAAGCACAGTCTCAGGATATCCATTCAGGTTCAGCTTCGAGGCACCATGTTTATATTTTGACCTTATTTTTATTGTTGAGCAAACAGATTGGGGAAACTCTTGGAAACAAGGTATCTGTTTTAATGAATAATGCACACGTTTGTATATGAAGATTCCAAGTCCAAAAGAACTGTGATGATTCTGCGCGTTGACGCAAAGTCAATTCACGCAGATTAATCTCATAGCAGGTAGAAAGCTGTAGGGGAACTTTCCAGAATTTCATGTATAAGGAGCTGCACATTGCTGTTAATCATGTTGTCAGATAAAGCATAGATTATCATGCTTCTGAAGATAGATATTGAGTATAAGCGTAGATTGTAATTGGTGTCTGGTTTGCCTTTAGCTTGGAGCAGACAAGGCTCATGCGTGATGAACAAGGCAGGATTATGGAACCTGTCACTGACATTAGAACTTTAAACCTAGAAAATGGCAGACTAGGGTGTGGGCATCAGCAGCACCTTAAAAGGGGCTCGTGCTACTTTGGCTTTTTCACATTTATGCATGTAGCTCACTAAACTGGATTAGTGTAGAAGTATAATTAATATAGACAGGGATTATGGAACAGTTGGTTGGTATGGTGATGCTTTGCTTAGCACGTGTGTCTCATACACCCAGGGTTGGGGGTTCGAAACCTGCCAGTTTGCACGTTCTGCCCGAGTTACATGAGATTCCTCTAACTGTCAGATTAATCAGTGCCTCTAACTTACCCACAGTTTGTGCAGGCTCCACAGTTTGTGCAGGCTCCACAGTTTCTGCAGGTTCCACAGTTTGTGTTTCTTCAGGCCTCCTTGTACTGGATAAGCATATAGATGGTGTAACTCTCCATATTTCTGTTGAAACATGCAATTAAACCAGGTATTTCATGCCTATTGTTACAGACAAGTTTCTTTGTTGCATTTTCCAAACCCAAACTGAATGGCTGAAGTACTTGGCTGAATAGATGAGCGTTGGAGAGTATTTGTGCTTCTGCGTTGCGTACAGTGACCCTAACAGGTCAGACCTCAAGCAGAGTGTGAACACTGCTCTTTATCACATAAATAATGCTTCCACTATTAATATTATTTTTAGAAACAGGAGAAGAATGCTTGATTGCATAAGGAGTAGTGGTGTTAGTCTGTATGATAGCCGTAGTGATTCCTTCATTGTTATTTCATCATCAGGCGTAAGCTAAGTGTAGAAAGGCCATTGCATGGGTAGTCGTGATGAGATATGTCCCAGAACAGTGTATTATTATACATCTATTTGGTTTGGCTCTATGGAGTTTACTGAGAGTTACATCACTCACAATCAACCAAATATCTGATGGTAACGTGTCTGTAGCACCTGTAACGCTAGCATGCCACTGAATCACCTGCCCGCTACCGTCGATGTGGAGACGGCCCCCGGACTCTAATGTTTACAAAAGAGGAGATTGCCGGTGGAAGCCCCCCCACTGAGAGCTTGATGGAGTAGGAATCATCACCGGCACATACTCGCTCTCTCTACCTTAGCAGGCTGGATCGATGACTGATGGATATTTTGTTTGTTGCCCTTTTACAGATTTATTTATATGTATGATCCATTTTTTCCTCACCCCTATAAAATGGGTGTTTACCATCCAGTGGATAAGGTGATACAAATGTTTCCTGCCATTTGATGAAGCTGGATGTTCCGCAGTAGAATGGTGGAGATCATTAGGTCCTTTTCCTCTCTAACAGCCATATTGCATCAGATTCAAATAACTAGCTTTAAGCAGTTGCGCTTTCTTAAAATGTTTGGCCTGGAGTGTCGGAGTGATTTTCACTGGGTTGGGGTGAGTTTGGAGCAGGTGAGAACAAACAGTTCCCAATACTGGGGTGCAGTGAGCTTTTACTAATGAACATGTCACCAGAGCTGGAAATAAGGTTAGATTCTTATTGCGATGACTGACTAAAGTTAGATGTGGGTTAACACATCAAGATCTCTGTGCTGTAATCACTGGGAAATTACAACATGGGTCAGTTTCCATTTACATACATCAATGACTTAAGGTGAAGAAAAATCAAGTAGGCTGTTTATAAGCCTGTATTTAAATGGAACTGCACAATAGGAAAGCGAAATGCGTGATTAAATTGCGCATCAGATTCCTTAATCGGATCGTTTAGGCACCGTCGGATGATCCCTGCCACTGCGGGCCGCTAGGAGTCGCAGGAAAGGTGTGTGCCCCGAGCGGGCGGAGGGTCACAGCCGCCAGGTCCTCAATCATACTCAGAAAGCGCCGCTTCATGCAGTAACGAAGACTTCAGACTGCGCCGGGGGGCACTTCAGTCTGCTATACTGTGGCACTTTTAGTCCTCGGGACCACAGGAATTTAAAAATACCATGCAGAGGATGTGGCGTAATCATCACTATTATTATCATTGGAAATGGGGGTCAGGGGGGGGACACCCGGCTCAAAAAACAGCAGCCCCCAACCCCAAAATAAACAGGAGCATGTTCCTTATCTTTTAATATGAATCCACGCATTATTGAGGCCAAATAGCTGCGCATGCAAAGCGCGAGGGTGGACCATACTGTACACCTGTGGAAGACGTAGTGCTACATCAAACAAAGTAATTACATCATATGCATTAGTTATTTTATGTAGCTTCGTTTTGTTTAGTTGTGAAACTCTACGCTAAACAGGGTTGCTCTTATTTTCATTGATGAACCCAGCCCCCACCCCCCCCAATTTGGAATCCTTCCGCCTCCACTGATTATTATTATTGTTGTTGTCGTTAATGTTATTATTGTTCTTGTACGCGACGAGGACGGAATACCGTAGCTGCCTACTGAATCTGCAATGACTTTGTGATTGATATACTATATGCCTGAGTGAAATCAACTCGTTCCAAGATATAATGGATTCTTCCCTGACATCCATCCATGGAATTCACTCTCTGAGTGCATGGCAGGGCGTCTCGCTGCTGTTTGCCCAGGGTGGGCCCTGGCGGACTGGGACGTGTCTGCGTGCTGACAGGCGTGTCCGTTTGCGCAGACCATCGGGCCCCAGGAGGGCTGGCAGGTGTACAGCTCGGCGCAGGACGCAGACGGCCGCTGCCTCTGCACCCTGGTGGCCCCAGAGCAGGGCCTCTGCTCCCGCGATGCCAAGAGCCGGCAGCTCCGGCAGCTGCTGGAGAAGGTACGCGCGCAGCCACACGCGCGCAGCCACACGCACACTCACACGCACACACACACCATGTGTGAGGTCGGCTCAAGGTTTTCACCCAAATCATGCACATTTACCATCTAAAAAGAACAATTGAGCACATTTTTACGTTTTGTCTATATGTATCCAAAATGATGCTGGGGGGAATTGCAATTGTCATATTGTCCATGAGTGGTGTGCCAGTGTGCCAGTGTGCCCTGCGATGGGTTGGCTCCCCATCCTGGGTTATTCTCTGCCTTGGACCCGTATCATTCGAGAGACTCCAGACCCATGTGTCCCTGCATAGCACAAGTGTGTATAGAGGATGGATGTTTTTATCCAGAGCTGCTTACATTTTTGAGAGCGCCAATCCCAGGGGCAGTGGTGGGTAAAGGGCCTTGCTCTGGCGCCGGGTGGTGAAATCAGCCTTGCAACCCTGGTGTGTGACCTTCTGATCACAGGCCCAGTGCCCAGTGCCCAGTGCCCGAGCTCACTGAGTCACACACCAAAGCCCCTGAAAAGTCATTATAATTCAGTTCCTGGCATCCAACCATCCATCCATCCATTTTCTGTAACCATTTTTGCTATTCAGAGTCATGTAGGGTCTGGAGCCTATTCCAGTAGCTACAGGTGCCAGGCAGGGAACAACAACCCAGGATGGGGACGCCAACTCATCACAGGGTACATCTACGGGCAACTTGGCAACTCCAATGAACCTCAGCATGTTTTGGGACTGTGAGAGGGAACCCCACGATGACATGGGGGAAGCATGCAAAGTGGAGACTCGAACCCTGATTCCGGAGTAACAAGGCTAACCACTGTGCCAGCATGCCACGATCAGCATCTGGCAAACTGAAATTGATATAAAGCCACTCTAAAGAAGGTGTTGATTTAATTTAGATTTTTAGTTTATGTCGACAGTAAACTCGCCCAGTGAGTTTCTGAAGACTTAAAAGTGCCTTAATTTTCAGAACATGCTATCGACACCGGTGCTGAGGGAGCGCCCACGTTCACTTAGGTGTGGGGATTAAGTCAGTTAAGTGGATGCTTAAGAGTTTAACCGAGACGGAAAACCTACAGTAGCGTTCACCAATCCCTAGGCACCGGGAGGGGCCGCCTACAGCGATCTCCGCTGCGGAATTCCCTGTGAGGCACCGTGGGCTCCGTGCTGAATCTCCAGGGGGAGGCTGATTGAATTACCAAATCCAAGTCGGATTTTCGGAGCAGCTAAGCGGGTCCCCTTTAAATTATGGGCTATAGATGTAGTTTTCAAAGTGGTTTCCTCACGTTTTATTCAACCTGTCACTAGTGTAACTGGATATATAATATTTTGCACTAAACTGATGCAGGTGGCCATGTGTGTCAGATGCTCAGATTTCCCCTTTTTACAAAATTCCAGAAAAGTCATAAAAATTTAGAGTCTATAGGCCTCAAGCTGCAAAATAACCTGAAGTTATGCCTGCCAGAGCCTAATTGGTCACTGTATTGTCTTGTCACCCCAGCTAAAGAAATCTGAGTGGATTTTGACCAATCAATGTCCAATCGGTTTGCAGAGTTGAACACCGGGGAGCGGCACGGCCTCTCAGCAGGCAGCGCTGACACCTCACATCTCAGGATCATTATTTTGAGTCCAGCCCCAGTTCTGTGGGTGTGGTTTACTGCCGTGGTCCAAGAACATGCGCTTCCAATTAATTGGTCACCCTGAGAGAGTGAAGGCTTTCCCCGCAGAGAACTGTCCCATACCTGACATGCCACTCTCACGTCGGAAGGTTCTGGAATATTACAGCCTTTACCCAATAAGCAGATATATTATATTATAATAGATGGATGGACTGCTCGATGAGTAAAACTGTACCTTAAGCTAAAATAAATGTCAGATGGAAGAAATTTTTGAATCCAACAGATAATTTGAAAAATATATAGCTGTTATATTCACGGATTTTTCTTTATGAAGTCCTAAGTAATTATATAACATGAGCAGTGTTGTGGTTCTGTGGGTACAATATTACCTCATCCCTCCTGGGATGGCAGTTTGCATATCTGTGTCGGCCTATTCAACATACTGTAGGTTTCCGCCAGAAACGGACCAGTTATGTGACCCGCTGCCTTTGAATTGCTTTGCCCTGCAATGGACTGGCGCCCTGGTGCTTCCGGGCATTGACTCCTCATGATGCAGAAGTAGCTACAAAAGCTGGACATACATACATACATACATACATACATACATACATAGAGTAACATTGTATCTTACAGGTACAGAACATGTCACAGTCAATAGAAGTCCTGAACCTGCGGACACAGCGGGATTTTCAGTACGTCATGAAAATGGAGAACCAAATGAAAGGACTGAGGACAAAGTTCAGGCAGATTGAGGCCGACAGGAAAACGTTAATGACTAAAGGATTCCAAGTAAGTCTTTTCTGCTTTCAACTGGCTGCAGTTCTGCTATTGTCGTTAATAGTACAGCAAGGTCATCCCAGTGCAAGGTCATCCCAGTGCAAGGTCATCCCAGTGCATATCACTAAGATTAAGACTCTTTTCCTGATCATTCAAACGAAATGCTGACACACACTGAATTGCATCAGTATTGGACATTTTTGTTGTCTAAATCTGGCAGATAAGTTAAAGTCATACAGACAAATTCAGATCATTCACCTGGAAATCACCTTTATAGGTCACTGGTTACAAGCAGTGTAGAAAATGTGACAAATTCAACACATAAATAAAGCAATAAAGCAACTTTCTGATCAAATCCTTTTCTGCCACTTATGGTTTTGAAAAAGAAAGGTAGTTTATGGCTACTGTGCAATATTAGGCCATCCCCTGACCTCCAATCAGATGGTCTGTTTGACTTCACGGGTAAGGAATAGATTGAAACATGATTGTTTTGCTGTCTGAGTCATGTGGGGAAGTGCTCTATCACTGCACACATTACTGACGCAGCTGAGCAGCCGGCCAGCCCTGTAAACTGATCAGTTAAGCCTCAGGTCTGACGCCGAAGCATGCTCCGGTCAACTCGCCAGCGACCCACGGTGTCAGACTCACCACCCCGTTTCGCCGGCAGGAGCTGAAGGAGAAGATGGACGAGCTGCAGCCGCTGATCCCCGTCCTGGAGCAGTACAAAACAGACGCCCGGCTCATCTCGCAGTTCAAAGAGGAGATCCGGAACCTATCGGCCGTGTTGACAGGCATCCAGCAAGAGATCGGCGCCTATGACTACGATGAGCTCAACCAGAGGGTCATCAGTCTGGAAACCAGGCTGAGGGAGTGCATGAGCAAACTCAGTAAGGCCTTCCCCTCCATCTTCTGCGGGAGCAGGTGTTGAAGTGCAACCCGGAATGTGTAGCAACTTCGAGCTAAATTAGCATATAATAAAGCCATCAACCAACATTCACAGTCCTGTTAGCCTGCATGCTACGGAAGCATGCTAATACAGGAAACATTAATATTGATGAGGAACAGACCCAGCTGTCTGGAAACAGATGCTATGTTGAACACAGAGAGGCAGGGCCGGCTGTCAGTATACAAACAATACAGTATTTATGGTTATTTTAATATATACAGTATTGTGAAAATATCTGGAGGAGGAAGATGCATAAAACTGACAGATGGTGGGAAGGATTGAGAACATAGCCATACCATATAATTTTAAGATATAATAGAAATGCTAGGAATTTGTATGCATGTTAGTGTATACATGGCGTGACGTGAAATATTATGTTGGTCTCTTAACAGCATGTGGCAAGTTAATGAAAATCACAGGCCCCGTAACAATAAAGACGTCTGGCACAAGATTTGGAGCTTGGATGACTGATCCACAGGCGTCGTACAGGAACAACAGGGTAAGCTGTGTGTATTTTAGTGCCGCATCACCTTTCATGTCTATTCTCTTATTCAGTTGGTAGAAGGTATTACCTTTTTTTAATGTGTATGTTGACGAACTGGGAGCATGTAATTTGGTTTGTTTTGAGGGTCCTCTGCTATTTATGTTTATGAGTAGAGAATTTTTTTTAAAGAGATTTAATATTTATTCAATTTTATGTAGGTTTGGTATATGGACAGTTACACCAATAACAAGATTGTCCGTGAATACAAATCTATGTCAGACTTCATTTCTGGAGTAGAGTCGAGAACCTACAACCTTCCTTTCAAGTGGGCCGGGACCAACCACGTGGTCTACAATGGTTCTCTGTACTACAACAAATACCAGAGCAACATCATGGTGAAGTACAGCTTTGAGACAGGCCAGATCCTCACCCAAAGGGCACTGGAATACGCCGGCTTCCACAATGTCTACCCGTACACCTGGGGGGGGTTCTCGGACATCGACCTCATGGCCGACGAGCTGGGCCTCTGGGCCGTGTACGCCACCAACCAGAACGCCGGCAACGTCGTCATCAGCCAGCTGGACCCCGACACCCTGGAGGTCCTGAAGACGTGGAACACAGAGTACTCCAAGAGGAATGCGGGCGAGTCCTTCATGATCTGCGGTACGCTCTACATCACCAACTCCCACCTGACTGGTGCCAAAGTCTACTACTCCTACTCTACCAAGACATCAACCTACGAGTACACGGACATCCCCTTCCACAACCAGTACTTTCACATTTCCATGCTCGACTACAACGCCAGGGACAGGGCGCTATATGCGTGGAATAATGGCCATCAAGTGCTTTTCAACGTCACGCTCTTCCACGTCATCAAAACCACCGATGACTCGTAGGCTGACGCAACTGGCCGTTTCCTTGGAGTCCGTATGGAATTTTATTTATTAATTTTCCCCTCCAACATAGACCTCATTCAGTTTGTCAGTCTTTAAAATAATCCCTTTTGTATGTTTGCTTCAAGGACATTAAAAACTGAATTGTAAAAAATTATGCAATATGTTATAATTATAGAGCCAATTAAATACATTTACTGTTGTTTTCTACACATTGCAATGGAACATCTGACTTACTGCGTTTGGTTGTAGATAATTGTATGCATGTATGTAAAAACAAATCATCTTATCAGTTATAACAGTAGGCCTATATTTCTGTTATTTGTACGTAACATTTATTGGCCCCCGAAACTACTGCCAAACTGAGGAAGAAATTCATAAGGTTCCACTGTCAGAGGTAATATAATGCAGAATATAATACCGATATTTTTTAAAGTGTTGAACCACTTTAAAATATGAAATAGCACATGGTATTATTTTGTGTGTGTTTCCCATTACACTGTTCAGTTTTATTTCAGAGTATATTTTTTTAATGTGAGATATTTTAAGTGAATAGATATTGTCATGCTCAGCTGAATGTGTTCATGACTTTGTCACCCTGACCACTGACATTACACACACAAAAAGCTGGTGAAAGAAAAAGCGTAATGTGAAATGTTAAGTCTTTGTTTGTTTCGTTACCTTGTACCTACATTCCTCTGGTTATCTATTATACTCAAAAACGAACAGGGTCAAATGGCCTGGTTTGTCTGTGTTTTATTTCCCGCCTTTTGTCGTGGGTGATCCAGCTCGTCACCTCACTGTAAAGAGGGGTTACAGGGGCTCAGTGTGACAAGTTTACAGCAGCGACAGAGCAATGCTGCAAAGCGGACGTCGCTTTAGTGGCCAAGTAAAGACTTCACGTCAGCCGAGCCGGGGAGGTCTCTTCGGTGTTCCGCTCTGGGAAGCCGAACGTGAAACAGTGAAAGACATCTCCCTCAGATCACAGATATCCGGGCCTGTAATTCAGGATCTTCTTGGCCGGAGAGGTTCACTGCCACTGGGGGCTTAATCATACGACGGTATTTATCATTAATCAGGAAAGGTCACCCACCAGTTATCAGGAAAAATGTTAACGATCCCACTGCACATAGGCAGCTGTCTTGGGCCAACGCCACTGCATGGTGGAACTTTCCCAACACACCGTATGTTCTTTGACAAGCAATGGCTGTTCCATAGGAATGGCTGCGTTTTATCGTGCTCCGGGGCGGCACGATGCTGCAGTGCTTTGCACTGTTACCTCAGACCCCTGAGACCAGGCTTCAAGTCTCTGCTGTGACTCTGTGCATGTGGAGCTTGCATGTTCTCTCCATGTCATTGTGGGGTTTCCTCTGGGTACTCTGGTTTCCCACACAATACAAAAACACGCTGTGGTGAATTGGAGTTACCAAATCGCCCATAGGTAGGTGTGTGTGAGTGACTGGTGTGTGAGTGTGCCCTGCGATGGGTTGGCACCCCATCCTGGGTTGTTCCCTGCCTTGTGCCCGTAGCCTCTGGGAAAAGCTCCAGAACCCCTGTGACCCTGAATTAGACAAGTGGTTACAGAAGATGGATGGATGGATTTTGATTTTAATTTTAAAGAAATATCAATGTTTGGATCTTTTACTTTGAGCATGATAGAATATTCCCAAATAGCGCTGACTGAATAACAACAATGTTGCTGGCTGACCAGTCTCCTTTGTATATTCTTATAGTATAATGACTCTGCAGCCTCCAACACCCAGGTACGCGAATCTGGGGAAATGGCCAAATATTTGTCTTGCCTAATCTTGTGCCAGGTAACAAGCATCCATCTTAAGAAACAATTTTGTTTTGGACTGCTGGGTCAGGACTGGTATATGAAAAACAGGCACTGTACCCACAATGCACTTTTAATGGAGATTTGAGTGAGGCTGCCTGTCAAAAAATATTCAGAAACCCCTTATTATCATGCAAAACTTTTACCCCGAGTCCTTGTTCTACACCTTCCGCTTCTCCCAGAGGATGAAGTATGTACAGCAGCTGATATTCACAGTAATAATAAAGGAGAGGACAGGTTTTCAGGGGGGCTGATTTGCATTTCAAGTAAATGTTTCACTATATTCAGTCTCACAGAGGGCTAAAACATCTTATGCCTAAAGCACAACATTACAAAAGCCTTACATTTTTAATTCAGTTTGATCGCTGCACTCATTTAATTTTCATTCTCGTTTTGCCACTTTAATAACTCACAAGGAAACAACTTAACTCATGTAAGTGAAGGATGAGAGTAAAGAGAAATGCTATGATATCTCTCTTTTTTTTTTTTTCTCCGTAAAATTTTAAAGATTCAGTGTCAAAGCAGGGTGACGGTCCATAAAATTATTCACACTGTGGAAACAGACCAGAATATAATGTATAAGAAGTGACTAAGAACTTGTCATGACTTTCAAACTTAAATGATCGTTAAGGTAAAATTACATGACTAGAGCTTATAGCACAGTAATAATGGAAATAGCAAAATACTAATTAACTTTACCTATAGAAAATTAGATTTATTTGACAAATGTGTATATTTCTTGCTTGAGTAATTTTGCTTCTATGCTGCTTATCCAGTGCAGGAAAGCCAGGAAGTACACGGGACAGCAAGCACATAGCCACATAGTAAAATTACGGGTTTGACTCCCCCCAGATTTGTTTGATCCCGACCAGTCATGTAGCCTGGCAGTAAATAAGAAGTTCTGACCCCCCTCAAAATTCATTTCTGGCTACGGTCCAGGGGTGCTGCCTGGGCACGATGCTAGGGCATCAGGCGGTCCATGCTCCCCCCGCGAGCGCCAACCCCGCCAAACCACCCCATGCTGCACTCTGGAAGGATGCCAGGAGACCCAGAGGAGATTCAGCCAAACTCAAGGTGAATATTGCAGCTCCACGCGCAGTGAGCAGGGCTGAGATTTGAGCCGATCACCCTAGAGTTCACACCTTATTTTAATTTGAAAATGAATACCTAGTTAAATGTAGGCCTACTTTATTCTTTAGTTCTGTTCAAATGCCTCTTTCCAAAGACGATTCAAGGACTAAACATTCCATCTTAAGGCTTCAGACCTAAAATGCCAATTAAACTGAATTCTGCGCTGCCAAACAAGAAAAAAAATAGTAAAAAAAAATTTAAATAGAATTCTCTTCTATTCCATTTTTTTCCACATGTTCTTCACCTGTCATATGCGCAGGGGAAGCACTTATGCAGCATAATCAGAAGTGCTATTTGAAAACTGCTATACGGCAATTTGAAATATATTTCCATTTCACGTCAAAATCGATTTTTTTTTTGGAAAGAAAAAGCTTTTTTTAAAATGCTCATTTCAGGAAAGAGCCTAAGATGGTTTAGAATGAATGATTTTATAAGAAATTATGAATTTATATCATATTACTAAGTTATTAAAGGTGAATGAATATTTTACTCTAAGATAGAATGGGACAAAGATAACAGCATTTGTCAAAATGAGATTGTAGCTGACTATGTGTGGAAAGTTTATGTGTTGAAGTTAGTAATTTAAGTCCTTACAGAACAGCTGATTCAAAGAAGAATGTCCATCCATCCATCCATTCATCCATCCATTTTCTAACTACTTTTGACATTATGTTGCATGAATCTATAATTAATGTCTTCTTTCCTCCTGTCCTTATACATACCCCCTTTTATTACAAAAGACAGTCCTACCAATAGTTTCCTACATATTTCACAATTTTATAATTATACACATTTTTGTGGTTGGATATTGAAAAAATATGTCATATTTATTGTCTGGCTTAGTCAGATTTTTTAAATGTTTTAAAACATAATATATGGATATTTAAATTTAAATTTGCTCATTACTAATGTACTTTAAGACTTGGATGTTCTTGACTAACTATTGGCAAAATGAGGAGGAGTTTAAGTACAGCCTGTTAATGTGAGATTGCAAGCATAGATGTCAAAATATATGACAGATGACACGTTCCAAACTCACTTCAATTTTATTGCTAAGGGCTAAATTGACTAAGCATACTTTATTTAATTTAAGAAGGACCCAAGAAGAATTTATTGGATTGCAGTGAAGTAAAATATGTCTATGTGACGTTTACTTATTCTGTACTTTATTAATGTCAGAATTACAGAAAAGAGGCTAAAGAAAAGGCCAGACCACAACAACAGAGGTTTGCTTTGAAGTAATAAAAATATTTTATTACTTTATAAAAAGTTTTTTCCCCCCAGTATTGGGTGTAATATTGTACTGTCAATTCTCACTTAAATTCTGCCTCCTTTTACCTAGACCTTGTTTCTGCATTTTATCAGTGGTGTTATATTTGGCATCGGACATTTTCACAAGCACTTCACGAAAAGAAAAGAAAAGAAAAGAAAAGAAAGAAAGAAAGAAAGACCATTTCCAGAGAAAACTGACAGAACGAAAAAAAAGAGAAAAACTGAAAATTACGCCCTGACCTCAGTGAAGGCAACTGTGCAACTAACCGGGAAAGAAGAGCTTATAAGAAGCAGGAATAACAAAGGCATTTGTAATGGTATATAATGTAACGGTATAAAATGTAATGGTATAGAATGTAATAGTATATAATGTAATGGTATANTATATAATGTAATGGTATAGAATGTAATAGTATATAATGTAATGGTATATAATGTAATAATATATAATGTAATGGTATAGAATGTAATAGTATATAATGTAATGGTATAGAATGTGATAGTATATAATGTAATGGTATAGAATGTNATAGTATATAATGTAATGGTATAGAATGTGATAGTATATAATGTAATGGTATAGAATGTAATAGTAGATAAGAACGGCGTGATGGTGGAAGCCCAGTGACCCACCTGTCCGCATGAGTGGGAGGCAGGAAAGGCGGGTAAAAAATCAGCCAAGTTCCATGACAATAACTAGTTTGCTTACATGAACCATTAACCAAATGTAATATGGAAGAACCCTGACAATCCTAAATAAAAGATAAGGACATATGTGATCATGTGATCATAACCTGCGAGGGAGCAAACCAAAATAAGCCATAGAGTGGCATGCAACGTGTCAATGATGGCACTTTGTGATTGGCTCACAGACAGCTCTGTGGTCAAGACCAATCTTCAGCTATGCACCATTAGCAACAGGAGAGACTGATCAGGTAGGTTTTTACCTTAAACTCAAATACAGTGTGTTTGAATCAAAGACATAAGCAGCTGGATTATTCTATAAGCTGGAGCTGTGCAGGAGTGGGCCCTGCCCTTAACTTCTAGTGTGACGAGATAATCAGAGTCTTGTGAAGGAAGTAATTTGGCTTGGGTGTAGGTGAGGTGAATTCACTGCTGCAAGTCAGGGTTTTAAAGTGAGAAGCAGCGTTTTATACACTACTGTAAAATCTAGGAATCCAGCACAGAGAGGCGAGTCGAGGACTGATGTTCACGCATTACATTTCAAGTAAGAATGCTTACAGCCGCATTCTGAATGAACGGGAACATTTCTGCTATAGCGGAGAGCAGCACTTCACAATAATCTAGTCCTGAGGTAATGACTGCATGGCCTGAATTTCCTGCATTGCTTATGGGCAACATTTTTCTGAGCTTAACTATAATTCGCGAGGGAAAGGAAGGCACTTTGGGTGTTTTAATGCTGGAGACAGTTGTTAGAGTCTTATTTGTCGTAACAGCAAAGTATGTCTACATAACTTCGTGGCTGCTAACATCATTTCTGTCTTACCGTGGTTCAGTAGGAAAATGTCACCCAGTTTAAAATGTGCTTTTATTTCACAGGTTTCAGGATTAAGGAAATATTTAACTTTTAAGTTTGTCCTGTACATAGAGCTGTGGCCCACCAGCATGGTGCTGGTTTTAAATACTATTCTTGAAATAATATTCCCAAGGGAAATAACATGCAGAGGTATGAGTCATGATCCCAGAACAGAGCCCTGGAGTCCATGCCTGACTGTCAAAAAATGATAATTTTCCTGAACAAAACAGTAATGGTCTGACAGATATGAAAATACCTGTCCACTGAGAACGAGATTTCATAGCTTGTCCAAAAAACTGTGGTGACTGATGGTGTCAATTACAGCGTATCAGAGGTCCTGAAGCTCAAAGACACAACTATAGTGAGAGAATAGGACCAAGTCACCTGTTACTCTGACAAGTGCCGATTCAGTATGGTGGTGCTGACCTGAAACAGATCACAGATATTGCTGGATGGAAAAAAGATAGACAGCCTTTAATACGTAATAAAAAGGTATTAGATTCGATAAGTTATTAATGCTCGGATTAGGCTTCTTGGTTTTAATAAAAGTAGTCTAAAGAGAATTCAGAGCATATACTTCAAAATCTGGGCCACACTATGTTTAATGACATTGTGACAGTAATATTATTATCAGTAATAAATTGCATGATGGATGCAAAAATGCATACAAATAAGACAAAGGATATGTTATTTCTTATTAGGGAAATCATACACAGCACATTACATGTTTGTGGCAGATGAAAATAGAAACTTTTCATGTAGTTTCTGCAGTTGGTAATTTCTCTGCCAGAGGATTGATCCATGACCGTGATCCGTGGCTCCGGCTTCAGTGGTCACGGTGGACATTAAACGATAAACCGCAACTCGAGGCTTGAGGGAACAGGAACAAAGCTCGTCACTGCAGAAAAAGACAGTTATGCTCCATCGCTCAACCGATGTCTCACTGTCCTCACAAACCATAAGCGTTCTCCAGCAGATGAACGGGGGCAACTGCTAAGCCAAGGGTACCAAGCTTTCTCCACATCCAGGGTCTGAAATCAGGAAGTGGAAAGGACACCTCTCTATCTGACCACAACGACTCGTTTAATTATATTAATTATTATTAACAGGAAATAAATAGAAGTGATCTGATGGAAAGGTTGTGAGAATTATGAAAATAGCATGTGTTGTTAGGAAAAGCGTCTTCTATGTGAACCAAGGACACGAGTCAGAGTCAGTCCAAGGAGACTCCCGGAATACACAGTGTGAGGATTTTGACAGCTGTGAGTCTCATAGGAAGATCCATAACAACAGGAGTTAGTCAGCCAAAGAAAGCAGCTGAGAATCTCTTGTTGGCTGTGGAGACTTGCCAAGAGGGTGTTCTGAAGCGTCAAACTCCCCGTCTACAGTACCAGTCAGACTGATACATCACAGCAGCTATTAAGTCCACAGTGAGTCAGGTTAACCAGCATTTCTATAGAAAGCCAGGAGAACCGGAATCTTACAACAGTGAGGGTTGACCGTAAGAGCAAAGAAGTCAGACAGAAGTACAATGATCTCAAAACGAGGCGAACTAAATGGAACACAAATTCTGAAATAAAGAATCAGTGGCCCGTTCTGCATGCAATTAAGATCAAAACTTCACCCAATTCAGATGTGCGTATATTTGTGCAGAAATTCAATACCCCCACAACAAAAGGAGCCGGGAATCTGATTTCTAAACGGCTGAGTAACAATGAAAAATTAGTTCAGAAGGCTGAGCTCAAAGGGGTTTTCTTTTTGGTTTCCTACTAACTTATTTATTAATTTATCTAACCTTGCCGTTTTCTGGGCAGGAATCGATGAGTTCAGTAGCTCAGCTCAACACGTGGGGACACTGTGAGGTGCATGTTCAACTGCTTGGGAGTAATTGGCATCTTGGGGGCATAAAGTTATGTCCACTTATCCGTTTACTTTTTAAAAACTTTTAAGAACACACATATAATTCAGGCTTTTCTTTATAAACTTTTAGGGGTTGCCATTAAATTACTCGTTGACAGTTTTTAGGTCATTGCTGCATTCTTAATGATGTGTCACCTGGCCTTGGGTGCCTCCCCCCCGCACCCAGGTCCTCGATCCATGAGATGGGCCGTTCCAGAAACATCTCCCCTTCCCTCGCCAGACAGCTGCTTCGCCTCGGACCTGGAAGGGCTGTCCTGAGTGGTCCATGCGAAGGAGCTCGTCGTCTACGCATGCGTGTGTCTGCCGGCCGCCTGTCAGGCAGATGAAAGAGGGGCTTTGTCAGCCTGCCGTGCTTCTTCCTACACTCATTCATTATCCCCCCATCGGCAATTACTTACAGAAGTGGTGCTGCAGTCAGTGAGCTCTCAAAGTGTCACTTTCAACAAAGCTACCGTGTAGGATGAAAGCCGGCCGTCCCAGCCAGTGTCTGTGGGGTGAAACTTTCCCCCCTCCATTACTGGAATATTCCACACGCGTGCGGGAGGCTCACTCTGCAGCAGGCAATCCACAACTATTTCTCTGTCCTCTCAGGAGTGAAGAAATACTGTATTTCATTGGTAATACTCTACTTGACGGGGCACAAATACTTAGTAACTTGAATGACAAATCACGAACAAATCACGAACAAATCACGAACAAATCACGAACAAATCACGAACAAATATAATCGCTACTTGAGATAAAAGATGCGTCACGACTCAGAAATGATGAACAAACACGACATCACTTGTGTTATTCTTTACTTCTTCCTTCAGTAGTTCCTGCAGTAGTTCACAAAGGTTTACAGAATTAACAGATATAGTAACAAATATAGTAACTGCATCCGGAGATGCATCACGATTCATTAATGATGAATTAACATGAAATCAGTATGTAACTAAGACTTCATTTGTTACATAAGTAATAGCATAATACTGTATTATTTGCGCCCCATCAAGTAGTGTTACCTATTAATTTCTTTCTAAAAGCAGTTAAACTCATTGCCATTATCTCCACTCCGCTTGACTCTTATAAAACATATTTGCTTGTTTCCAGTCTGAAGCAGAACAAACGCCCTCCAGAACATTCTGACATGTTCAGACCAAGAAAATCCGTGGAATGAAGTGTTAGTAATTAACACAATTTACATATCTTGCCGGGTGCCATCAATTTTTTAGTTAACTTACGTCTATGTCGTACAACAGTTCTGTTTATGTTCTCTTACAAATGGCAGCACTGAGGCCTGGGAGCACAAAATCTTGCCTAATTAACACAGATTTCTGTAGATGGGAAAAAATATGATTTTAGAACATTCCTTTGAAGTCACTGAAAGCAATCTATCGGACTTCTATCTTCTGTATATTCCCACATAATTGTTCTCTTGAGTGCGTACATCTTTTTCCCTGTAGATGCGCAGAACATGTTAATTTGAAAAGCAATCTCTCCAAATTATTCCGCAGGGCCGAAAGAGGCTATTTATTTTATCGGAGTATCTTTTCGGTAAATGCCATCCTCTTCAGCTGGTGGAATATGTTGTGCCAATCATTTTATTTCTTTATTTTTGCCATTATCAGCACTCGGATCATTATAATTGCCGAGCTTGACATGTTATGTGATGGTATGATGGTCCCACAAAGACTCTTTCGATGACAGAAAGGAATGGTTATATTACTATGGGGGGGAGCATAAAATGTTATTTATTTTTCATTTTTTTTGTGGGGGTTTTCATCCGTTCTTATGGAGTTTAAACAAATACAGGGATCCTATAAGAATTGTGTGACATGACACAGCTATAAGCTCTGGTTGTGGGCTGAGGATGAACACAGGGACTAGAACCCAGCAGGAACCGGCTGTGACCATATGAATGGAGCTTAAACACCGTCGCTCCGGCAGACGCCCCGCCAGCGTGGGCCGGGACAGTAAAAGCTACGCCAATCAGGACTGCGCCACCCAGAAAACAATGGAGAGGGGCTTGACGTGCTTCCCGCCAATCCCATTACGGCGTGTCAGGTGTTGAGCCAAGCGTCTGTCGGGTATGGCGCCCCCTGGCTTCAAAACACGCCGTCCCTGCGGAGCCAGTTGAGTGACGGCACCTTGGCAGGGGAGGAGGCGAACTGTTGCTCCGGGGAGAAACGGCTGGGCCCGATGGCTGCAAAGAAGCATCCCCGATTCACCTCCCTGCTACAAAGCACCCTCTGGCCTGGAAACCGGCAGAGATTCATGCCAGATTTACTGCCCTTTTGTTTTTGCAGCCCTCATCACTATTGTAAACAAAACAGGGCCGATATCTTTCTGGATGGGGCTGGCTGTGAAGGAGACAAACTCAATTCCCTGACAGTTTGCTCTTTTTTCCCTCTTTTTCAAGGGCCCGGCTCCCGTGTTTGTCGTTGTTTGTTTCTGTCCTTTATCTCTCCCTTTCAGCTGCAGGGAGAGTAAAAAAAAACAGGGGATTGATGTTCTGTGTGTGGGAGAAGCAGGAAAGCGCTTCACCAAAGTGCGGGGGGGGGGGGGACTTCGTTTAGTCACTTTGATTGTATTTTCTGTGCATGCTTATGTGTGTATGTGTGTGCGTTTTAAATGTATGAATGGCACTCAAGGGGTGAAACATTTGTGTCGCCATGGAAACCTTGGATCCGGGTCCATCTATTTGCCTCTTTGAAACTGAAATTCAATCCTCGTTGCGGGGGGGCGGGAGGGTTGGAATGAGGACTGCTTTATGCCACATACAGTAATGTTAAAACATGTGCATAAAGCCCTACATCATTTTTATCTAATATTTGTTACTTCATGCTCAAAATTTGTATCCTTGATTACATATTCTGGCATTTTAATATTTACTTGACAGACTCTCCCGTCTTCACAGAAGTTCAACATCAATGCTAAGAGAAAAGGACATGCTATTACTGGTTACATAGATGGGTAATATGTGCTACATTATACTGGAAATAATTATTACCAAAATTATGAAGCTTAAAAAAGCCTAACTATGGAGTAGAATAAAATATAATTTGCGCCAGGCAAGGCTGTACAGTTCGCTCCGGCGGGTTGAGTCGCAATACGCAAACCCACCTAATTTGGAACTCATTTCAATTATGGCTATCACAGTCATTCTCATTTATTAATACATCTCATTGGAGTAGATCTCATTATGCTAGCTGTCAGTCCTCATTAGTTACCGTATCTTCTCCTTTTTTTAGGCAGAGCTTTACAAAGTTCAGGCGGAATCACTAACGACCTTATTTTAAAAAGCAACACCAAACAATGGAGGTGATCACAGTTATGTTTCCTGCCTATTTGCTTGTTGCAGAACGTGTTACGTCTGTCGCACTCTTTCGCATAGAAATTTCGTTTTCCCCATAATGCTGTCAGGCCCTGGCCCTCTGCCCCTCCTGCTCCCTTCCTAGCACGGCCCAAACGGGCCACGCCTGTTAATCGTTTGTCTCGCGTCACGTCCCTGTTAATCACTCCAGCTGCTTCTTGTTATATGCCAATCTTGCATATAACAAGTGCTTCCCAGTCCTGTGTTCCCTAGTCCCGATGTTAATGTTATAATGTTTCTATGCACGAGTCTTTCCCCTAACTTACATCCTTTTTTTGTGACCCCCCCCCCCCCCCCCCGTGTGATCTGATTGGTTTCTCTGCCCCCATCTGCTTGCAATAAATCCCTCTTTGTTGTCCCCAACGTCTGCCCTCGCCTCCTTTGTGATAAATGTTCCACCGGAAATATGCATGCTAAGGTAAGTACTTATGCTAAGTGCTAATGATATCATTTTTAAAAACTATTGCAGCACACAGTATATTGGTTGCATTTAGTTAATGCATATTCATTAAGCGTAATTATGCATTACTGTTTAAGAGAGACAGTTCCTTGGTCACTTGGGAAGGGTTTAATTGAGCATGTACCACTTAATTAGAATATTTACTCACTAGGTCTCAGTTCAACCAGACATCAAGGACATTATAAGCCAAGGTTGGAAAAAAATCATATGTGCTGGAAAAATAAAGCTAATATAAATAAATTATATATGTTGAAGTATGATATACGAGTACACACTTTTGCTGTGCTGAATGAGAAGGCATCACATTTCTCAGAGTATTCTATGAATCCAGGTTGCTGTTCTATGACCCCCCCCCCCACGCCCACCACCCTTCCCAGCTGAACATAGCGGGAATGTCTTCAGCGTCACGTCCATGAGAGGCACTGCTTAGGCAATGCATTTTCCCAGACTTCAACGTCACGTTGTCAAATGCCATCTCCCTGTGCCGTTCAGGTATTGTACGGGGGCTGAACTTACTCTGGGGGGGGGGGGCACCACCACAGACAGGCTTGTTGTTTCTGAGTCCCCAAATACTTCACCCCCAGTCCCCGCTTAGTGTAGTGACTGTTTGTGGCCAACAGAGGGCTCATAAACTTCAAGGGTCCCACACACAGTTACATGTTTGTAAAAACTGAAAAATATAACTGCAAGCATTGCATAAATAACTTATCGGTTTTCAAAATTGTCTTTTGCTTCTTAATGCTGGCAATCTAGTGTAAGTAATACTTTGAGGACATTAAGGTAAAACGCATCTGCTCCCCCTAACAGAACAAATGCCCCCTGTCTGCCCCCCCCAACTGAAATGGTCCACTGGTAGTTTCCTCAGCTGATGCTGAGATTATTCCAATGCATTACCACTGATTGCAATCAAACTTAACTGTAAAACGGTAGTTAATTAAATCGTTTTGTCGCAACATATTTATTTTCCTTAATCATGTTAGTGGTGTCACCGTTTTGCCATGTCGCATTTGCAGTGGCGATGAATAAATACTTAAATGGGAGCAGATTTTTGTTTTTTAACCCTCAGCTTGTGATCTGACCAGCCCACTGCGCGTCTTAATCCCGCCGCGCAGTGCAGCGCGACACCGCGGTTTGCCGGAGAGAGACGCCGAAGCCGGCTGATGCCTATTGGATCCTATCGATCGTCTCGATTATTTTCCTTATGGTCGGAATGATGTCTTCAGGCGAACCTGAACAGAGATTTCTCTCCGGCTTGGGAGAATTCAGTTTTAAAAGACCCTCGATATGGTTCCAACGTTTGATCAGCCATGAGGACGTTTTATTCCAATTTTACCTCAAAATAGAGTGACATTTTTGACAGCCTTGGCCCAATTGAAAAACGGTTTCTTTCTTTTCTTTTTTTGCAAACCTTATATTAAACTTGATATGTCTTTGTTATATCGTTATAGTGAAATTGTGCTGCTCGGGAACTTGACAGGTTGAAATTTATCAGTTCAGCCACAAGGGGAACATTTGCACACTAACGAAGTTGTTTGTTACTGATGAGGTCGCGTCTCATGTGCTTTTAGGTTGAATGGACCGGGGATACATATAAGGCGAACATGAATCGCGGCGCAGTGAGTTCACAATATGAAGGGATGCTGTTGCCCCCCGATGGCCGGGAAAGCATGACGCAGGCAATGATGGGCACCCCCACCCCCTTCAACACATCGCGTTAAGGAGGTCGTATTTAACAAATGGGGTGCTGATGATTTACACGTTTAGGATTTTAGGTTCGAATCCCACTTCTACTACATGTAGGCTATGTGTGCACAGAGTTTGCATGTCCTCTATCTCTACATATTTGGTTACTTACTGCAGTCCAAATCCGGCCACATATTTACATTTACATTGTGGGCATGTGTGCCCTGCAGTGGGTTGACATCCCATCCAGAGTGTACCCTGGCCTTGTCTCTGGTGCTTTTTGAGACCCACCAGCAATCCGGACCAAGATGGATGGTAAAGATGGATGGATACACTAATGTAAATGATTAATGGATGTCACAGGTTAATGTAACCTGAAATATTACCAAGAGCATAATCTGTCTTATTAGACTCTATCTTCAATGATCCCCTGCAGATCTTAGGGTAGTTGGATTCTAGACAGCAGGGTGAAGGTCCATTTGTGAAAACTGAATGTATAATATGCAGAAATGTGACTGCGGAAGCTAAGATCTCGTAATTCTGCTGCTTGGGCACATTAGGGGGCTTTATAACCCCCTCATTAGCCCCATTAGGCTCAGTCTGTGCCATTTACAGAAGCTGTAATTCAGTTTCTTCAGTAAATTTCTTACCAATAAATGCTGGACAACCACTGCTACCTTGGCATGGAATGAGTGGTCACAGCAGCATGGATAAAACAACAGAAGTCACCCCTCCACAACTCCAAAAAGCATCAACATGCACCTGTTCCCCCTTTACAAATGACACTGCATTTTGGTTTGCAGTGCATAGAGAGAAAAACATCATGGCTTAACAATGCTACATGCCTCCTGATATAACTAAAACCAATTAACATCCTGGTGTAACGAAACCAGCGAGTTTCCATTTTCTATTGCCGGCTGAACTAAAAATATCGTAATAATGTTGGATGGGGAGATGTCATTTAAACAATTTACGTGGTGAAATCGCATTGCTCCAAGTGTCTACAGAAGGATACCCATTTTTTGCATCCAGATTCTGTTACCCCACTTTACTTTTCACCCAAATTGCCCCTCCTACTTCTGCCCTGCCAATTTAACACTGGCAAGCAAAAATCTCTTTTTGTATTATTAAAATGCAAAATTTCAAATATTACAACTGTCATAATAGCATTCTTTAAAGGGCTTAGTGTCAGATTTTAAATCTCTTTGTTTTGGTGAAGGTGTTGTAACTTGTTCAGGCGTTCAACTCTGGCCTCTGCAGTAACTAAAAAGAATTACATCGGTTAAGTGTTTTTTAACCGTTAGCTGTAAATATATTTTTAAATTTTGTATTGCCTTAAAGTGGTAACACAGCATGTCGACAAATGCACACACTGCATCTTTGGATACATTTACATTGAAGGCCTCATTTCTCCCTGCTAAAAAAACCAGCCTAGACCAACATAGCTGGTTACCAGCATGACCATCATGATGCATGCTGGTTATACCAGCAATACCAGCATGTGTTGTGTTTTGGTGCTGGTATGCTGGTGATTGGATGCTGGTGACTGGATGCTGGTGATCAGCATGGGTGGCTGGTGATTGGATGCTGGTCAGCAGTACTGGATGTTGAGGATGGTATCCTGCTACCCAAGGTGGGCTGCTTGCATGCTGGACAACCACAGTGAATGTTGGTATTTTGACACATGAAAATATTAGTGTTTCATATCATGTATGCGTACCAAAATGAAGAATTTCATAACAGCATGTATATTTAATAAACAAGGATAATAAATAACAGTAACAATATTAACAGTAACAAGAAAATTACAATTTCCCTTGTGGGTTCAATAAAGTCTGTCTGTCTGCCTGCTTGTCTGCCTGTCTGCATGCCTGCCTGTCTGCCTGCCTGTCTGCATGCCTGTCTGCCTGCCTGTCTACATGCCTGCCTGTCTACATGCCTGCCTGTCTGCCTGCCTGTCTGCTTGTCTGCCTGTTTGCCTGCCTGTCTGCATGCCAGGGATATCTTACCTTTCTGTGTTTGTTGTCTTCCCTGTAAGGATAGATGGCCACAGCCAGCTCCTTCGCAAACAAGGAATCTCAAGTATTATTTTTTATCCTGGACCAGGATTCTTTTCAACTTCCTCCCAAGTGAATCTGACAAAGATCCATAGCCATTACATTGTACACATGCACACAAATTAAACATACTTGGGGTGTTAATCAATACACACAGGTGCAGAGGTTTTTTAGTTCTACGTACTGTATGTTTAGGTTTTTATGTTACCTAGCTATGCTTCTAGTTGGAAGTGTAAACATATGTTTTACCTCATCAACTTTTGGAGATACAGAATTTCCATTGCATTCTCACTGGCAGACTCTGCAAACATACGGAGCATAATGTAAAGATACTGAACAGCTGCACCTTGCCTAAATTTACACACTTGTATTAGGGTCTATACTTACAGAATTAGTAGAATTACAATGTATGTGAGCCAACATTGCAGTAACGAAGTTCTTTTCTAGAAGTGTATAGTAAGACATTCATAAAATGACTCTATATAGTTGTAAGGCTTTCAAGTGATCATATGATTAACGACAAGTATGTTCAGAACAGGAATGGTCTATCATACTAGGGGTTCACTTGTTCTTGGCATTATCACTGTTGAACATCACAATAAAACAGTCTGTCCGAAGGTCGTTAGGAGGGAAAAGCTTACAAAAACGCAGCAGCTACGACAGCTACAGTTACAGTATGTCCCTAGTTGGAATTATGGATATTGCTTCAAACTGGTGCTGAGCTGTCTGGCCAAAAATTAATATCACAGTATATTTTAAACATTGGGTGGGATATTGGTATATTGGTATTTATTTAATGTTTTTAAACATTGACACTGGGCCCCTTTGAGGATTTTTGTGATCCTTTTTAATGTTATGCTGAAAATAGTTTGTAGTATCATCCTGTAACACAAGCTGTGATCACTACAAAGGGTTTGCTTGGCTCCACAATAATCCAGTTGATCTAACAGGAATGCATGGGCCGTTCTGAAATAGGCGGGTGGAAATGGTTTCGAGTCAAACAAAAATATTTGTAATGATATTCGGTTAATTCGCGGGAGGGTCAGCTGAAAAAAACTGTAAGCATCCAAAAGTCACCCAAAGGTTAATAAAAAAAGCAGGTCGGTCATCATTTTTGCCTTATTGATATTATTTGAATCACAGTCGGGTTGAATTAAAGCATTCGCTTTGGTCCCTCGTGCATCACTGAGGCCTGGCTAGCTTAATGCACACCTGCCAACACTCCTGATTTTCCTGGGTTTCTCTTGAGTTTTACAGCCATCCTCTGGTTTTGACAAGGCTGAAGTTAGTGTCTTACTTGCAAGATCCGTGCTGCCTTAAATAGACATAACGCATGTTCGTGCCACCTTAAATATACATAACGCATGTTCGGCCATATTGACAGCAATTTATCTTATTAATGTCAAAACATTTCTATTGCAATTCTCTTGTATTTCATTTATTTTATACTTAGAAATAAACAATGAAGTTCACCTGCCAAGGTCTTGCAAATACTAGCTGCATAAATATGTCATGAGCTAAAATGGTAATCCAAGTTCACCAGCAATACCATGCTGGTAGACCAGCACACCTATACTGGCTCACCAGCTAAACCAACACCAAACCAGCATAGACCAGCCTGGAATTCATACTGGTCTATGTTGTTTTTTTTCCAGCAGGGTCCAGTTCAAATTTTCTGCTCGGTCAGATTTGCAAGATCGCACATTGATACGTTTTCTTACAGATGTGTCTTTCTTCCATTGTTATTTTACCAGCTGCCGGTGCCGGCTGGTGACGACAGTACCCAGTGCATTCGTATCGGCAAAACACATTGCCGTTAATGTCACACAGCCATGAATTAGATACATGTCTGATCTAGGACCTCATATCACTGAAATCTGATTTGAAAAGATCAAATTTCTGTGTCCACACAGCCCTGAAACACCTTTTGATGTCATGAGTATTCTAAACCTGACCCTAGGTTCAGCTGGCTAACCCTAATTCGGAGAGTTAGGATGATGCAGCAGCACATTGGGAAGTATGAAATACGCTATTAAATCGAGCTAAACTGTCAAGCTAAACTCCCGTTATACAGTTGCCCTGCTCATAGAAACAGGCCTCAAAACACCATAACCTTTCTAATCCTAACCCTAGCTTCAGTTGTTTTTAATTTGTGGGTGACAGAACAGGCCGTTGGAAAGCATGAAATATGCTATTAACCTTTAGATGCTAACCTGGGCTGAATTTTCCCCCCCACTGCCCGTTTTTGTACTGCAGCGTATTACAGCTTTGGATCTATGTTACACGCTTTGGTCCTTCTGTTCCTAGATGATTTTGACATACTTTCATATTTCTCCTTTGTTTATTTTTTGGTGCACGGTCACGTGACTGATGTTAAACCATCAGTAACCATCGCATACCGTAACATCTGCTGCTGTAGATAATCTGTGTGTAAAATGTCTCAAAAGTTTTCAGCTGCAAATGCTGCTAAATTAATATCAGAATGGGTCGAAAATGATGACAGTAATGATGAAAAAATAGAGTTCGATGACAACAGCGGTGCATCAGTGAAGTAGAATTCGATGACAGTGGTGAGGACATCAGCATCTTACCGCACATCGAAGAAAAAAAGATAAAAGTTAAGCAATTTTGTGTTGAACATGGCACAAATGAAACTGCTCACCAAATATGGGTTAATTTTGTATACAACAGCCAAATTAATGTGGGATGACAATTCAGCCCAGCTTAGCTGACGTGTGACTTTTTAAGAAGTTAACCTTAGAGGGTTAAACACATCCATCAAGGCAGTAAGGGAAGCTGCAGGAGCCGCTATCAAACATGGCTGCAAACTTTAGGGTGGTTGAGACCTTTTGGGGGGGGGGGCAGTAAAGTCTCGGCACCCTCGTAATGAGAATAATTAGGTGCCATAGTATTTCTCATCAGCCTTTGCGACTGTTTGGGAAGGTTTTCCTAACAAAATGGCATTATGTACTTGTTTTTCTCTCTCGACGTTACAAATAGTGCTGTCAGAATAAATGGGGCGTGTGACGTCACTAGTCAGCTGTACGTAAATTGGCTGAAATAAATGTACAGTCGACGCTTTCAGCATTAGCGGCCTGACGATGACATCATCCATCTGGAATGGCCAACTGGAGCAAAATAATTGACCGGCTATAACATGGATACCCAAGAGTATTTTAAATAATGCATACATCCCCTAAAATGATGCTGCCAAATGTTTATGTCATGGTCCATTCCTTTGTAATCGACACATCATTTATTTCTTAGTTAAGATCATTCTTAGTTTATGGCCATCTAAAAAAAAATATTTAAACGTAAAGATCTGCGGTTTTTGTTTAATCTTCAATTAGATTTTTTTGTATTGAGATTCATGGTCCAGTAAAGTGTTCCCAGTTGTTTCCCAGACTGGTCTTGTCTTGCTCAAGCCTAGTGGAAACCTGTCCATAGAATTAGGGTGTGATTCTAACCACCAGCGCTGGCGATATGAGTTTACAGCATTACCCATACAGCCATCCATGAAAAATATTGTACTTTCCATGAATTTTACTATGTTTGCCCATTTAATATATAATATTGAAACAATAGACAAAATATTCCATGGTCTTTGTGCAAGAACATAAAACTACATTTCTGAGTTAACCTCGTGTATGTTTTTGGGTACACAATTTTTCTGTTAAAAAAGTTGAATTCAATTACTCTACTTGTGTGTGCATGTATGAACAAAGATTTCCATTAATGAAACACTAATCCTATTACAGGTACACAAAATTGGAACCCCAAAACATAAGCTTCCCTGCATTTATTTGTGTTTATACTAAACAGATGTTTTATCTGCATCAAACAATTATTTCTACATCTGGGGTTTATTGTGTTTTTTAATGCTTACCGAGATGACGTGCCCACCATTCATAAGAAACCTTGCATTATTCATTAATGACCTTGCTCACAGATGCTGCCATCTCGTGGCAACAAAAGTCAAAATTTTCTGATCATCCAAAAGTCCATCCATCCAGACATTGAAACCGCTCATGCTATTCAGGCTCGCGGGCCAAAAGTCATAATTTTTTCCCTGGGCCTCGTTGAGCGAATATCTGTTGTTGTTTTGCTGGCCGTTTTTTTAATGACCGATTCTGGACTCAAATTAGCTTTTTCATACTCCGGGACAATATCTCATCGTGTTACATTTTGCACTTCACAGTTGTCCTTAAAGTAGCCACTATCAATTCTTGTCTGATTGATACTATTTGGCAGTTTTTTGTGCCAAAAAGAGGAACTGCTGACACCGCTACAACTGCATTTTGTAATTATTGTATTTGTTGCGTAACTGTGGGAAATACGATATATGGCTATGAAATTAATCTAATAAAATAGCCTACTTATATTTGTGTAATAATGCTTACGTCATTAGCCACTGTCTTTGTGTATTTTCTGTCAGTTTTTATACATTTGATGCCCCTTTTTTATGCTTTGCATGTTTTAAAAAATCAATACGTCATACTGGTTCTATCGATTATAACTATTTTGACCTAAGTTAAATGGTCCGTGATTACTGACTAACACTTGCCGGCTTAACCTAACTGGGCTGGAGAATTTGTTCTGATTTTCCAGCAACAGTATGCGTATTAATATCCATCGATCCGTCCATTTTCCAGCGCCGCCTGTCCAGTGCAGGGTGATAGAGAGCCTGGATCCTATCCCAGGCCCGGAGCAGCCTCGATTGGACGTCAGTCGCATATTCCTGTACAAGCTGAATTTACCTGCAAGATACTGATCACGTATGGAGTGTGCTGACACACCACTACACAGACGCGCAATCCCAGAATAATTATTTTGCGCAAAACTTTCGACGTGTCTGTAAATGCATTATGACGGGAAAAAGCAGTGACTCTCTCTGCTCTCATACGAAACGTTCCTGCGCTACATTGATTAATACCAAGAGATGACTTTTTCCCAGCTGATGTTAAATTAGTGTCAGCGCTAATTTAGTGAATATGCCCAAAGAAACTGCGCACTATATAGGTTACCCCCCCCAGCCCCACTGCGGAGAAAAGAAGAAAGCCGCCCCTTTACTTGCTGCTGAACGTAGCACAATCCCGACACCTTCTTGGACGGCTTTTCAGTTCAGTTGCGGCGGCTCTTCCCTAGATCCCCCCCGCCCCCCATCCCCTTGGCCGACGTGTAAGAAGGTCGTGCCACAGCGCTCCAAGTGTCCAGAGGAAAGTGGGCTGGCGTGATCGGCCGTGGGGGGCTTCTAGAGTGGACATCCGAGGGGAGCGCACCATGAGCAGGGTCACCTTCTTCGAGGTAAATGCCGCCTTATCGTGATGGAGCATTAAAGCTGCCTTTACGGTAACTGACCAAGGATGCCTTAAAATTAACTTTGAGTGAGTGTGTCCTAGAGAATACTTTCCCCCCGTTTGTTTATTTATCCAACATGAGTAAATAGTTTCCATCCTTAGATCAGTGTTTGGTGACAGATGTTCAATACTGCTTTTTAGGCTAAAAAAAAAAAACATTTTATTGAAGTGTTTTTTTCTTCAGATATACTGATGGAGTAGCTATTTTTCTCCCTCTCTCGATTTATGTACAGGGACCACAATATTAAGCGGATAGGAAGTAATTCCAGGTTGTAGCCTACCAAAGGCCGTTTTGATCTTTGAAAGTTTAGTAAACTGTCTGTAATCTGGGCACTTACTGTAATGTGCGTCCAAAGCAATGCAATGTGTGATAATGCTTCTTTGGGAGAACATAACATTTTGACACATTATTCTAAGTATATGAAAGTTTTAAAACATAGCTCAGTTAAATTATCTGCATACTGACATACGTCTGAAAAGGAAATAGAAAGTTTGATGTCTACAGTAAAGTATACCTGTTAAAGTAGGCTATATTAGTATATAAACTGGAATGTTTGGCGCTGAAATAATCTCCTGTGCATCCTCCATTTCATCCAGCTGTTATGTCAATAGTATTACTAGCATTGTTGTTCAAACGCGTTGTATTAGTGTTTATGGAGCAGTCTTATCTCACTTACTGCTGAAGTATATATGAAATTCCGACCGGCTTGTCGTCTTCCAGGGGCTTCCAGTTTGTTTACACTGGAGTGCTTGGACAAATCAACCATGAGAAAATGGATTGTACATTAAAATATGTTTAAGGACATGTAATCCAGACGGTGCCGCTTCGTGTCCAGCGAGGGTAATGCTTTAGTATATGTAAACGTACGTCCTAACCTAAATTGCTCTATTAGAATATTCTGCTGCACACACGGGGTGATTTATAAATCTTCTTAGAGACGTTTCAGATAATCAGTTGCTCTGTGCAAACTGACAGTTCCCGACAGCTGTCAGTGTTTCCCGTCTGGCGTTTGTTGTATTTTCGCCTTACATCCTGAATATGTAGGCCTACGAGTGTTATTGGGAGTGAGTCTTTCAGGAGTCTGCAAGATCAATGCGCTGGAAATCAATCCTGAGCATTTACAGATTAAGTATTTTACTAAAGTGCTCGTTTGTATGCCTGTCTTGACAGTTTGAAATGCAATTGGATTGTCCGTGCTTCAGCTTCGTAATTTGTCGTTTTGTAATAAACGTGCAACCTGTGGCGTTTCCGGTGATAGGTGCCTTTATATTAGGCCTATTATCTAACAGGAAGTTGCCGTAGAAAAGTCCGTAAATTAATCTGAGCGGCAGGTTGGTGTATCTGGTGTGACGTGCCAGTCAGGTGGCACTGAAACGAGTGCGACAGCCCTTGTCAAAATAAGGCGATGGCACGAAATGAAATTGCTCCGAGAATTTCGATTTTCACAAAACTTTCACTAGACAGGTAATGAAAATGACTCAAAATAAATATTTATTTCCGCAGTATGAATTTGTACATTGAAAATAGAATATACAATACGAAAAACTATTTCGTGTTGAACAGCTCGTGGTTGCCTTGCAAGTTCATCAGAAAGGATTTTCATTCCCAGCCCAAACCTCAGAACCGGTTGTATCAGTAAATCCCCTCTGACTTTCGCATCGGCCTTTCTGCAGAGGGATGGCGATTCCCCACTTTCCTGGCCACTCTGTCATTTTAGTGTTCAGCAGATAAAGGCCTAATACCTAACCGTTTTAATCCAGTGAAACTAACTCATCAACCATCAATACCGTTGGAGCTTATTTTAGTAATTTATGTGATTGGGATCCATTCGTAGGCTAATTGTTCAGTTGTGGGCCAAATGTGGACCCCAGGAGGATTACAGTAGGGAAGCAAGTGCAGCTGTCGGTTTTTTTTTTTTTTTTTGGGGGGGGGGGGGTATCAATTGTCCCCGGACCAATATGTGTTACACGATGCCGACGGCTGGAAAGGCCAGCTGTGACCTCTGAGTGACATCCCATCTTTCCGTCAATCTCCTGTCCGACGTGTCAGCGGTGCGTACGTGGGAGCTTGGGGGAGGGCCGCCTGTCAATCAAACGGGACACACTCGGCCTGCCGCCGGTTTTTCTGGCCCTAGTGTTCGGCAGCTCCTTTAGCTACCCATTAGGAGGGAATTTACGTTGTCCGCTAAAAGGGCTCTTTAGCGGCTCAGCAGAACTGTCAAGGTTTCCACTCACGGCTCTCGACCAAATTGCAGCTGCAGGAGGCCGTGTGCGATTTGTGAGTAGAAGCGACGCCATCACCTCCTGCGGAAGGAGGTGTGTTAGCGGGGATCTCGCCAGCTGTCCTTTTCCCGTATTAAATGCGCCTCAGCACTAATGGATGATCTTAATGAGATTGGTTTCCTTTCTTTATATTGGCTGGCAAGCCTCTTTGTCTGACAAATGCATGTTCTCAATGCAGGTGAGATGCGTGTTTTTGGTTTCTGTTTTAATGTGTGTGACATACATAACCAGCTGGCAGGAATGCTTATGTCGCAATAGGACAGGGGGGTGTGGCGGCTCATTCAGGCAGCCAATCACGTGTCAGTGGTGTCCCAACCATGCTTCTGTTTATCCAGCATTTGTCTTTGGGTTCCTCCAATCACTGATGCTGAATTTCACACACATCCCCAGTGCAAACAGGAGCTACAATAAAAACGTCATAACATTTTCTCATCTCCGCAGATGCTACCAAACTGAAGCTGTAGGAAGTCACCACCAAAAACTCAGAGAAATGGCGTGTTTGTTATTGTCAAGAGTACGTTCATATTTCTGCTTCCTGGTTTGCTAAAACAACAACAGATATAAAATGAAATTGTGTCCAAAAAGTCAGCACTGTGGTAAATGTTGGCCCTTGTGAACATGATCGTCTTATTATAAATGAGTAGCGGTGCTTTGAACTGCTTTCCATCTAACCACTAGATGGCGCCGCTCATTCGTTCCCTCGCCATATTAATGTGTATGGCAGCAAGGAATTATTTGCATCCCGTATTTTTGCGATGCATATCAGTTCACGCCTGTGTCTCCCTGTATCTGCTCTTAGATGACGGTCCAAGGATCTGAGTGACATATCGGCATCCGCTTTGCCAGCGGTAAATTTAGAGCGTCGTCCTATTTACTGCCAAAGCAGATGGACGGTTTCAGACCAGGGTATCGTTTTTCCTTCTGATCCTCGCTCTATGCTGTACCCAGACCCACGTCGATGAATTTTTATTTACTTGCACTTATCCAGGGCTGTTTGCATAGTCTAAGCTCTCAGTTTAACGATACAGCTTGAATTTTAGCATACCGTATTAGTTTAACCTCCTTCATCAAATGCACAAGCAATAATTCATGGGGTAATGATCTGTAGCTTTCTGGATCTGCGCCAAGTCCCACTATACTTTTTCCGTAGTCTTATGGCTCCTGACAATTATCTCTGCAGAAATATCTGGGCATCAGTCTACTGTCTGCAATTCCTGGGGTTACTGTCACAGATGAATTAGAAGGTTGTTAAGGACTCAATCTCCAAGCACATTGTCCAGGAGAATTCGTTATAACCAATGCAAGCTGAAGGGTACATTTCTACATCTGCGGAAAATTGTAAACGGGGATACTCCACAGTGCAGGACAATTTAAACAAACAGAGTGAGGCGGCCAAATGCAGAGTCATTTTGCTAATCGATTTGAAAGGTTTGTTGGTGTCTTCAGATGTTTCTTGGCAGATGGTTCTTGAGCTTGAACTCAAGCCAAGTGTGTGTCAGCAGGGGGCGTAGTGGTTAAGAACACAAGTCATGTTCAAGTCTGAGCAAAGGCCTGGTGAAATAGTCTCAGAGAAGAGTTAACCTGTATGATTTATTTAAAAGTGTTTTGTTGACCATTGCAAGACTAGGAGAAGAAAGTAAGCTACCGGTATGGCTGTCATGCTAGTCTCCCGTTGCACTTCAATCTTGGGTTGCTGAAGTTGATACATGGGTGATGTCACCGTCCACATACTGACAGCCTTGGCGGCCGTCGCTCGGCGAGGCAGCCCAGATAGGTGGTCGTCGTAGCCCGCCGCACCGTGCGGCGCCATGGGCTCCCTGGCACTGAATAGCCTGTTCACCGTCGCGCACTTCATAAAGGCCAGGTGCGAGCATGGCCTGAAAGCTGGGGAACTCAAGGATAAAAACTATATTTTCTTTGAGGTGGAGATACTGGATTACAAGACCAACAAGCAGCTGTGCTTCCTGGATAAGGTGAGCTTCTCTCTGCTCACCTGGAAAAGCAACGGAATAGAAAAAAGTTCGACAGAGGGATTGTTAGCTAGCACTCTAGAATCTGTCATTCATACTGATGTTTTGAACAGTCTAATGTTTTCAGTCATTATTATCCACATAAAAGCAATCTATATAACTACACATTCTGTACTGTATTGAATTCTGGTTCACCTTGATGTTAAATTCTCCACTTTCTCCACTTGCCAGGTGGAACCTCACGCTACCATAAAAGAAATCAAGTCCTTGCTCTACAAGTGTTGTGAGTAACCCTTCGCACCATTATTCTTTTGACATTGTTCATAAGAGTTGTACAGAAAATACTCAGATCTCTTAAATAGTCAGTTGTCAGTCATCAGTCTTCCAGTGGTTGTTTGGAGTGTTGCCCTGATTCCTTAGTGCCCGTGAGAGGAATATGGCTTGTTTGTGGGGAGGGTGGGGGGGGGGGGCAAATGTACTTGCCCAGACAGAGCTTTCTGCAGCTCCAGACTGCATCTTACTCTGGCATGACGAGGCAGGAGTTTCCTTATGCTGCTGATGTACCTGGTCATCGTAGCTCAGGTGCTGTAAAATTCATGGCAACACTCCTAAGATCCATAATGAATTCAGCCCAGCTCGTCTGATTCCTGCCGTTTTCCTTTTGCGCTTTGTGGGATTAGTCACTTGGACAATATTCGGACTGTGTGAGATTGGTGCATATAGGTGACCTGGAGGTGGCTAATTCTCGCCCATGACTAGAGGGATCTGGAGGTTTTAGTCACCTTTCAGTGATGGTTACCAGCACCATCCATCAATCTTCTAATTGCTCATCCTGGACAGGATGCCCGTCCATCACAGGACCTCTTATCAGCACCTAGTGGAAATAATGATTGCAAAGGTCCACAAGAAGGAGATGATGTTGATGTCTTTTTGCAGACCCCAAGCTGTATCCTGCCAGACAATCGCTCAAGCTGCATCGCAGTGAGTGTTTTATATGTCTTGGGCGCACCTGTGTCATTATAGTAGAGACTTAACTTTTATGGGGGGGGGGGGTGGTTAAAAGAATAAATAGTTCAGATTTTTATCATCCTCTGTTCATTAATTGAATGAAAATTATGATACATCAGTACACAGTTATTTTATATTTTCCTATGTCTATTTATTCAAGCATGCAATTAAATAGCTTTAACATACAATTATGGCCTAATCATTAATAGAAATGATGAATTCTGTTATGCAGAAAAATCATCTTTATTCCTCAGTCCTTCTGAGTATTTCCCAACGGTCTCTCTGAGGCCGAATATGTTGAATTTAAAGTGAATTGTTCATTCAGGGATAAACAAGTCAACTGAAGAAAAACCCAGTTCAAAAGATGTCATCAGGATGGGGATTGCTGGGAGTATGAGAAACAGCCTGATTGACGGGTGTTTATGTTGGAGCAATGCAAGCTGACCTCGGGAAATGCGCAGACGGGGGAGGTTATCTAACACGTGTGCAGCTAAGCTTTCTTGCTTAGCTTTAGATTCTCATTGAGCCCGGCAGGCTGAAGTATTGGTATGTGCCTCATCCATGTAAATTCTCTTGAGTCGCTGGTTTCTTTTATTTTTAGCATTAATGCTAATGCCGAGGTAGCTTTAGCGGTTAGCGAGGGACTGCCTTGTTGACAGGCGTTGAGGTGTCCAGGCCAGTGCTTGTGCCAGGTTTCTTTATGTGTATATGAAAGGCTTCTGAGGGAAGGATGTCACATAGAAATTTGAACCCTTACTGGAGAATAGTGTCTGTGTGTGATGTGACTGTGAAAGTCATACACTGAAAGGTCAATCTTCGGCAAGCATCGGTCGTATCTTTGGTTTCCTGGTTTTGGTCTGCTGGAAGCACTGAGAGACTGACAAGGCCCAGAGAGGCTGGGAACGCCGAGGGGGGGCATGGTCTTATTCCTGACCGGTTTGAGAGACGGCATCTCAAGCCGCCTTCTGAACTCCTGGGAATAAAGACTTTTCATTCAACATGGCTACCTTTTGAAAGAAGCATGTATGATTAGCTTCTTTTCTGGATAGACTGGGTGAATCTCGGCATGCGTACTTGACCATACTTGTGTTCTTGTTTTATGTCATCTTCCCCAAAGACCAGTTCCAATACTAAGAACCCAAGTACAAATCCCAGGATTTTGGTCTTGCTCTGCCCCAAATATCAAGGATACCTCCATTGCATCCTGGCCGAACGAGATCAATCCCATGATTCATTGCACCCAAAGTTAATTCTTGGAAGGCAAGACAGCAAGACCGGTCTTGCCAAGACCACAAGTATGGTCTTCGCGTTCTTGATATTGAGATTCACCCATTGTCTTTGGGTCGTACATGGGAATAGTTCTGTGTGCATTAACATGCCTTCTTTATAAAACGCTTTCAGGCGGAAATGCGCTTAAAGATGACGACATCCTGGAAAACCTACCAGTCGGGACCACTGCAACGATGTACTTTAAAGACCTTGGTCCACAGTTGGGATGGACGATGGTGAGTCTTACGAAGTCTTCCTCCTCTTTATTCATTGTTCTAGTGTTTAGAATCGGCCTGCCTGGATTTCTTCTTCCAAACCACAGCATATTTGCTTGGAGGGGGATTTTTCTGTCTTTTTTTTTTATTAAACCTTTTTTTGTCAACCAAGTATTACCATGGACCTCCTACAGCCAAATTTTGGTCCTGGTGACCTGCTCTTTCAGTATTTGCATATAACCTTGTGTTCTTGAAGGATACCCAGAATGCACTGCACCAAATTCCCAGTCTCATGTCTACTGATTGTCTTGACAACAGTACGTAAACATTCTCAGTCGTATATTGTGTGGCCGACTGATCCTTGCCCCACCCCCCTATTGGCACTAAGCATCCTCTACTGTATGATTGTCATGCTTCATCTTGCTTCCCTTGGCCCCCATGGCAGGTGTTTCTGGTAGAATACATTGGGCCCCTCTTCATCTACCTGCTGTTCTACTTTCGCCTCCCGTACATCTATAGCCAGAAGTACACCTTCACGTCCAGCCCATACCCCGTGGTCCCGTAAGTTCTGCATTTAATTGCCCCATGGACCATTCCGACCAAAAGCAGATGGCCCGGGTGCCTCATTTAAGAGCAAACTTTTGATACAGCTTGGTATTCTTCAGCTGTTCCAGTCGAGTGACTTTGTTCGAGGGCATATATGGACCCACCAAGGCTCCATCTGGGAGTTGAACCAGCAACTCTCTCCCACCCCATCATCCTCGGTGCAGATTGAATGTCTCTTTTTGTCTCCCGCTAGTCTGGCCTGTGCTTGTCACTCGTTCCATTACATCAAGAGGCTGATCGAGACTATATTTGTACATCGATTCTCCCATGGTACCATGCCACTGAGGACCATGCTAAAGGTGAGGGCAAAGCAACGAATGTTGCTCTAATTGTGTCACATGTGACATGTTATTATATATAAATACATTATGTATAGCTCAACAAGTAGAGCATTGAGTTAGCATCTCAAAGGCTGTGGGTTTGAATGCCAGAGAGCATGATTAATATGTGTGGCTCCTTCCCCTGTAGGATGTTTGTAGTAGCCCAGTAGTTAGTAGTTGCCCAGTTTTTGCAAACTTCATCAGTCTGTGCTGAGCACTCCCACAGATTTCAGCATGAACTTCAGGATTTCTGTGGTATTTATACTCTTGGGTGACACTCTTTAAAGCCGAATCCCCCCCCCCCCCCTCGAAGGCAGAGCCCACTAGGGTCCGGTGTGGGAAGGGGTGACATTTTAAAGACTGCATGCCTGGGGGAAGGGGGGGGGGGCGTCTCCGGTTACGGCCTACCAGATGGTGCTGACGTTAAATAAAACAAACCGATAACTCTGTCGCGCATGCTTCATCCTGTGTGAGGAGTTAGCAGGAATCTGTCTCCGTTCGCCCTCCCCGTTACATCCACACTTTTCAGGAGTTTGACTGAAGCAACCACATGTTGTTTTCCGTTAAAGTGATTTACAGTTCTTTTCCCCACCAGAATTGTCTATATTACTGGGGCTTTTCCGCTTGGTTGGCCTATTATATCAACCACCCTCTGTACACGCCTCCATGTGAGTTTACTGTAGTATTACAATTAGGACTTCTGAATTTGTCATTGTTTCTCAACAATAACTAAGAAATCATTTATTTTACAGCCTATGGAAACCAGCAAGTCCATTACGCACTGATTATGTTTGTGGTAGGTATTTGTCGGCTTGGCGATCTGGTGTTCAGACACTTTGGTTGTGTTTTTGACTGTTACTGAAAATGTTGCTGCATCATTGCTTTTAAAAGTAAAGCACTTTTCCGAATTTGGCTTGTAGCTCTGCGAGGCTGGTAATTTTTCAATTAACCTGACGCTCAACAACATGAAAAGCAGCGGTGAGTATTTAATGCTTCATCCTCGGCTTGTTTCTCTCCTCTGCTCAGGACTCCTTAACGGATTTCCGTACGGACCCCATGAATCCATTTTAGGGGAAATAAACACATAATTTCTGGAAATCAATGGTATAATTTCCAGAAAATATATTGCATAGAAGTTGTGCAAATATTTTCAAAGCTATGTTTTAAAGTTTGTAACTCAATGACAGTAAAATAATATCCTGCAGTCATAGACCCTAAGAATCTGCACGCCATTCTGCTGGTTTTCATTACGGATGTTTTTTTGCTGAAGCCCCTCCCCCTTTGCTGTCTTTTCAGGGACTCTGTTGACAAGGTTCCCGTATCCAACCCGAAACCCCTTCACCTGGCTGTTTTTCTTTGTGTCTTGTCCTAATTATACGTACGAGGTAATGCCTGCTTTAAGGAAATCTCTCTTTATTCCCCATCCTCCATATTCTGGAAAATGGAAATACTTCTTTAAAGCCATGTACTTCTGGTGAAGTTGTTTTATGTTGCAGGAAACCACAGGACGGGGAGAACTTGATGTAGCTTTATGTGCATAAAAGCTTCATGTGTCACGCTATGGGGCATAGAGTATAGGAATTGTACCAAATAAAGCAACATAACCAAAATGATTATATGTTTTTTACTTCAAAGGTTTAGCTAAGTGATTATTTCCTGTTAATTTCAGGTTGGAACTTGGATTGGCTTCACGATAATGACACAATGTGCTCCAGGTAAAATGCCGTCACGCTCTCGTCGTCGCCTTGAGTCATTATGTCTGATAACCGCGTCCTAACTGGCCGTTCATTGTGTCTGCAGTGGCACTTTATACGCTGGTGGGCTTCATCCAAATGACCATCTGGGCGAGAGGAAAGCACAAGACCTACATACAACAGTTCAAGGACTACCCTGGCCTTAGGGTGGCTATCATCCCACTCTTCCTCTGACTCTGACTCTGTTTGCTGCCCGATGGCACACTTCCGGAGCCAGCTCGACGGCGCCCCCCACCTGCCCAGTGTGAAGGTACAGCTTGATTATTTTCCCCAACACGTGACGTGCAGATTGCAGTAGTGTCACCATTGGGAGCAGCTGGTTTTGGTGTACTTCTCCAACACCTTAGGAGAGCTCAGATTTGAATGATGTACATCAGAACAGAGGTAACCTATTTTTTTGTAAACCCATAGCGTAATGAATTACGAATGGGTCGTAATGAGTTTTCCAAAGCACCGGAGTAACTTACTTGTACAATATCAGCAAAGTGCTGTTTGTTTAATCATTCCTAAGACCTTGTGGTGGTAGGGAGGAGACTTGTAATAGGGCTGATTTGTTGCCGTTACGTAGCACTAGTTACCCTCAAAGGGAACAGTGTGGAGATGATGGCACCATTTTATATGTGATCTAATGCAACAGGAACAATCTCCATGTCACAAATGGAAAAGATCGAGTTGAAGGTCTAAGTGAAGGGGAAGTTTACGTTTACCTTGCTGCAAAGTTCAGCCTATTAATATTGTTCTACAAAAATAACTGCAATTAAGGGCTACTTTTAAACTCTAGGTACCGCTCCCTAAACTTTTGCACTTATGCATGGAGAGGAATGTATAAGAATTTATCGAGGGCGGATTAAAAGAAAAACTGTTTGCAGTAAATTTAATTGTGAATTTCACGGCTGTTTTCTAGAAATAGGTACAAAAGAAGTTTATAAATGTTAAAAGGTCGGTAAGCTGCAGTGTGGTCAGGTTGTCCTTGATGCCATCACAACCTTGTAACAAAAGATTGAGTTGCCATGTTCCTTAATAAACATGAAAATTATTTCAAGCACAGTCTTCAGTCCTTTAATAGGCTTCTCAAGCTTGAAAGAATAGTTTTATTTATTAATTTTATTAATTCATGGCTTCACTGTCACCACTGTGCAACCTCGCAAAGCTCTTGAGCCTGCAGTGATTGGGATGAATTCTCAGCATGATAATTTTAATGGCAACACTGCCACCCCCTGCCTGGGAGGGTAATTAACATGCAGTGTGCATCTGCATCCTAGGAGTCTAGTGAAAGCACACCGCAGTTTAACTTAATTATGTCTGTGATTTAAGTTCAGCATATTTGAAATACACATGGGAATACTTACAAATAGGTGTAAAGAGAGAACGGGGGGAAAGGTAGGCAGTCTACAACCCACACAGCGGACAAATCTGTTCATTTTTATCCATAGTAAATAACTCACACACAGGCTTGTAATTGTATTTAAATGTATTTTCCACATGTTAATATTTCACTTTTTTTGTATCATGGCCAAAATGAAAACGTAACCAGATGTAAACAGACATTCAACTGTATACTGTAGATCAAATATTCTGCTTTTCTGCTTCAGTGCTATTGAAGGTAATTGCAGCTGATTACTTACACTTTTTTGAAACCGGAAATTTCTTTATCCAGCTGTTTTTCGTTACAGATGTTTCCTCGCTGAGGGCCTTTCCCATCTCTGCAGGGGTCCTATATCTCTGATAACATTTAGTCATTATTCCCAACTATTCCTCCCCTTCAGGATGTCTTTCCTTTGAGCGGTGTGATCTTTGTCCCTCGGCGCCCCCCGGCTGCCCGTGGGTGTAACACCAGGTTATCCTCCTCTCCCGACTGCTGCTGTTTGGCGAAGTTTACAAAAACCTGCAGTTTGCACCCAAAAAAACAAAGAAAGTAGAACTTAAATTAAAGAACCCCCTACGCATACAGATGGCTTTGAGTAAACAGACTAGAGGGGGGCATGTTAACAATTATTGAGCAGACACTTTTATCCAAAGTTGTGAAAGCAGGAGCAGTTGGTGGTTAAGGACCTCGCTCAGTGGTGAAATCATTCTGCTGTCCCTGAGATCTGAACTGCTGACCTTCTGATCATGGGCATAGTGCCGTAATCCACTAAGCCACATGCTGGCTGTCACGCCCAGCTCCGTCCGATCCTCGTGTGTGCCACGCCCACCTCGGTACCTCGTGTTAATCCCTGATTGTCATCACCTGTTTCCTGTTCCTTTTGACTTGTCCTGTGTATATTAGTCCGCATCTCCCACTGTCTCCCAGATCGGTCATTGTGTAGTGTTGCTATGTTTGTGGATGTCCGCCCTTCTACCCTTAATAAACCACGTTTTCCCGTCTGACCGGCTCATCTAACCTGCTTTCCTGCTCGCCCGCTCCACCATCGTGACAGAATGACCAATCTCTCGAAAGAATCACCGCAGCAGGAAGAGGACCCATGGCTAATCCTGCTGCACGAGGTGATGTATTGGCGCAAGCAGCCGGAGGTCCGAGAGGACCGTCCGTGGTGCCCACTGCGGCACCCCCTGCTGGCCATGTGTCGGCGGCGCCCGCCGAGGCGCCCCCTGCTGGCCGCACGCCCGAGGCGCCCCCTGCTGGCCGCACGCCCAAGGTGCCCGCCAAGGCGCCCCCTGCTGCCGCCGCTCTGCCCGCAGTCTAGCCTGGCTCGCCTGTCCAGTCCGGCTCGCCTGATCTTCATGGTGACCACGTAGCCGTCACCGAACCTGTCCACCGGGCAATGTGGGCGCATGTGAACATGGAGGAGCAGCTCCCACAGGAGATACAAGCCTCAAATCTGAACCTGCTTATGTATTTTTAAAACAGTGTTTCTCATCTCAGTCCTCAGGAACCCCTAGATCTGGATTTCCCCGTTTCAGTCCTGGAGGGCAAGAGTCCAAGTGCAGATTTCAGCTGCTCAGACACACCTAATAAACCGGGCAATCAGCTGACTAAGATGTGTTTGAGCAGGAAATCTACAAACTGTGTTGGACTCTTTCCCTCCAAGACCAGAACTGGGGAGCCCTGCCCTAGATAGACCACATTTGTGCTCCCAGCCAATCAAGAACACCTAGTGTGCTCCCAGCCAATCAAGAACACCAAGTGTGCTCCCAGCCAATCAAGAGCACCTAGTGTGCTCCCAGCCAATGAAGAACACCTAGTACTTTGTATAGAGGTGTTGGGCACTGGGAGAGAGCAGAAATGTGGTCTGGGGTCCCCAAGGACTAGGATGAGAGACACCGTTTTAAAGACTACTTCTAATTATAAATGTCATTTAGCTAACTGAGGAAGCCACATGCTGCTTGGATTCGGTGAGCCAAACTGTACTAGAAGCATTAACCTATACAGACACTCCTCTACTTACGAATGAGTTACATTCCGAACAGCCGTTCATAACTTAAAATGTCCAAAAGTCGATATTTAACAACTGCGCAGCGGGAGTAGCAGCTAGAAGTCAAACTAGTCGGAATTAGCGCACAGAAAAAAAAACTGATGTTGCAGAAAGGTGTGATGGCCTGAGCGAGAGCACCGGCAAAACCCATGGCGCACACACACACACACACAAAAAGAGCCCCCTATAGCACACACACACACACACAAGCAGTGCCCTGTTACAGCGCACACACACACACACACACACAAAGAGCCCCCTATAGCACACACACACAAGCAGTGCCCTGTTACAGCGCACACACACACACACACACACAAAGAGCCCCCTATAGCACACACACACAAGCAGTGCTCTGTTACAGCGCGCGCACACACACACACACACACACACAATGCCCAGTTACAACACACACACACACAGTGCCCTGTTACATCGCACACACACACACACACACACACACAGTGCCCTGTTAGAGCAGACACACATTTTATGCTGCCGTCTGGTGGCCAAAATTGAGTACTACCATTTAAAAATATTGAAATTATTTTTTTCTGGTAATTGCAATACTAATATTCGGCCAGGAGATGGCAGCAAGAAAATTGAAAAATAATTTTCCCACGGTTATTAGGACAATTCACAAGGTAAATTTATTGTGTATGTGTGTGTCTGTGTGTATTTGTGTTTTACTGCACTTTGGGGAAAATTTTATCAAATGTGATCAATGCAAACCCACACACACACACACACACAGTGCCCTAATAGAGCAGACACACGTTTTATGCTGCCGTCTGGTGGCCAAAATTGAGTACTACCATTTAAAAATATTGAAATGATTTTTTTCTGGTAATTGCAATACTTACATTCGACCAGGAGATGGCAGCAAGAAAATAGAAAAATAATTTTCCCACGGTTATTAGGATAATTCACAAGGTAAATTTATTGTGTATGTGCGTGTCTGTGTGTATGTGTGTGTTTTACTGCACTTTGGGGAAAATTTTATCAAATGTGATCAATGCAAACCCACACACACAGTGCCCAGTTATATCGCACACACACATGGATAAACACAAACACACAAAGTGCCCAGTCACAGTGCACACACACACACACACACACGCCCACTTAGAGCACACACATATACACACACACACACACACACAGAGCCCCCGGTTAGAGCTCACACAAACGGGCAGGTGTTACCTACCTCCTACCTATCAAAAAGTAGCTAATTAAAACATCTAATCTCTCTGCAGTTTGTACAGATTATATAATTGCAGTCACTGAATAGTGTGAGACCTGCGATGGACTGGCATCCCACCCAGGCTGAGCCCTGCCTTCTGCCCTGTGCTGCCTGGGACAGACTGCAGTGTAAATGACCGTGGTAATATACTCTATGCAGAACTGAGCTATGATCCACAGTATGGAAAATTCGTAAGAAAAGTGAGCAAACCCACTTTGCAGTATAACACTCAGGACCGTTAATGAAGAGGATGAGAGATCAAAGAGAAGGAAAGCTAGACACAAGGCTACCAGGCTCAGGACAATGCTGTACAGGG